ATATGCAAAGAAATAGCCAGCTAATGTAAATAAAGTGTGCAAAATATAGCAAAGGGCAGCAGAAACAATCAATGCAATTCTCCTACTGATTGAAGAATTAGCTGTTTGTCAATCAATAAACGGATTGAATCAGACAAGTCGTCATCATCCCTTTCCACAAAAACTGAAGGGGCCAAAAGGTAATACTCTTAAGTAATATGGAAGAATATATATATATATATATATATATATATATATATATATATATATATATATATATATATATATATATATATATATATATATATATATATATATATATGGCAATTGAAGCAATTGGTTACTGATGAGAAAGAATTACTGCTACCACCAAGAAAGAGAGAGACATTTACAAACAAAATAAAGGCTTCACACAGATATGGAACAGAGATCATCAAGGACTTGTCTGATGTTAGGCCTTTCGTTGGCAGGAAGAATGCATCTTAAGGATATGGCAAGCAGTTCATCCATGGCTTTAGAGTGCTGTTCTACTTCCCCGCCTCCCGCTATGTCTCGGTCAATACAGTCCATTCCCCTGCCCTCTTGATTGCACAGCGAGACCCAATCCGTGAGATCAACGGCCCCTGGCTGACCCGAGATGATGTCACCCGCACTTCTTCTTGTCAGCAGTTCCATCAGAATCACCCCAAAAGCGTACACATCGGCCTTCAAAGTGAGGACCGGTTTGGTTGCATTTGCAAGTTCGGGCGCCCGGTATCCAAGAGCCCCTAGGTTTAGGATCTGCTCCGCGTTGCCGCTTGGTGTCATCAGGCGGTGGAGCCCATAGTCTGTTACGCGGGCACTGTAATCGCGGCCCACTAAGATTATATTTGTGGGCTTCAAGTTGCCGTGGGGCAAGCCTTTTTCGTGCAGGAATGCTAGACCCCGAGCAACTTCAACACCAATGTTCAACCTCTTGCTGAAGGACAATGGGGAATATTTACGAGGTGTTGTCTCTGCAGTGAATTATATGCATGAAAAAAACACGTGAAGCGGAAGTTATTCATAACTAAAAAATGGCACCACTATTACTCAATTTTGTCACACACTCAATTTCATCCTTGAGTATTTTATTTATACTGAATGTGGTCTTCAATTACGTAATTAAGATTCAATTTAGTCCCCGTGCATATATCGCTCTAACTAAGAAGGGTATTTTGGACACTGATGACTAAATCGGGTCCACATTACATAGTTGATGAGCAGTTTGGGTCTATGTTCAAGCACACAAAACTACTCTCTAATTTAGAGCATAATATTAAAAGGACTGGATTGGATTCAAATTTCATACTCACTTAGAAACATTGAGCCTAATAAATACTTAAGGGACCAGATAGCATAAATAGAGGGACAAAATCAGGCATAAACTCAATTCTAAATGTGAAAGAAACTAGCCAAGAAATGCAGCAATCTCTACTTACCGTATAGATGTAGGGACAAACTATCCCCTGGAAGGTAGTCAGCTAAAATGAGCCTCTCTTGTTCTCTTGGGCCCCAGTAATAAGCTCGTAGAGGAACAACATTTGGATGTCTTATTGATCCTATCTTTTTAACTTCCCTTGCAAACTCTTTCTTGTCTTTGACTAAACCAACACGTAACCATTTAACGGTCAACACATGCCCATTACCTAGGACAGCTTTATACAAAGTTCCATGGCTACTTCTACCAAGAACTTCAGCAGGGGCTCGAGATAGCTCCTCTGCTGTGAATGTGATGGAACCGTCCAGGAAGAAGAGCTCTCCAACCAAACGATCCGGCGAATACACATCCAGAGTCACAGGTTGTTCAATTGAATCAATAAAGTGGGGAGAAGAAGCTATGGGGGAACCAGGAGAGAATCTTTGTCCAGCTGGCATACCTCCGGCAAACACATTCTCAACAATTCCTGTGGTGGATTCTATTCTCCCAGAAAGTGATCTAGAGTTTGATGTTAAAAGATGGTCATTGGAAAAACTTATGGATGTTGTTGGATGTGGCTCTGAGCTCCCATGAAATTTGAAAAGTGAAGGCCGGTTGAAAATTCCGGGTTTAACATCCCTACCATCAGATTGATTGCTGAACCCACTTTGAGACCGAAAGTTTTGAAGTTTTGATCGACGATACGCCAGTAGAACGAAGGCAATCATTATAGCTGCCCCAACCGAAGCAACAATAATTGCTACCTTTATGCTTGTTTTAGAGCTATGACGCCTGCGGCTACCTTGTAGTGGGCCAGGATAATTACCAGATGGTAACTTGTTCGGCAAGCTAAGCAAAAAATTCCCAGGACGGAATGAAGTATTGGGAAATCCTCTCAAGTTCTTAGGAATAGTTCCGTTTAAATCATTGTAGGACACGTTAAACACCCTAAGATTCGAAGTGAGATTATCTGGGATACTTCCCCTGAAATTATTATTTGATAAATCAAGATACTCTAACCCACCAATCTTAGTCAATTCAGAAGGAATGGCTCCTGTTAGGTTGTTTTTCCCAAGATTTAGCACTTTAAGCCTGGCTAGGTTACTTATGTCAGGAGGCAAAGAACCTGTCAAGGAATTACTTGAGAGATCAAGACTTTCCAATGGTGGAAATGAAGGTAGGACAAGGAGCTCTTTGGTGTGTGAGCCTCCAAGAGGGATTGAGCCTGTCAAGTGATTTCCAGAAAGATTGAGGTTCAACAGGGATGAAGAAACCAGGAAAATAGGTGGAATAGCTCCATTAAGTTCATTGGCACTAAGATCGACTATGGCCAGTCTTGAAGATGCCAAAAGAAAAGGAGGGAGGTTCCCTGCGACAGAATTATTTTGGATGCTTAAAAAAGTCAACTGTTGAAAATGAGAAGTCAAATTAGGAAGAATGCCAGTCAACTGGTTTGAGCTCAGGTCTAAAACTTCAAGGTCTGCTTCCCAGCCTTCAACTGCAGATACATCACCAGTGAGCTTATTCCTACTCAAGTCAACAATCAAACAATTTCCCATGGAAGAGGGAAAACCAGACAGGAAATTTGATGAAAGGTTTAAAGTCCTCAAAGTAGTTGAATTTACTTTCTCAAGCAAGCCTGCAAATAAAGCATTGGAATTCATTATGCTTTGGGCAAGATACAAGCAAGAAACAAAGGTTAACGTATTGTTCAAACTCAACAAAACCTGAATATAATTTTTTAACGTTTTAATCCGTATTAAGTGGTAAACTTTTAAGACACTAAAGAATGCAAAAATCAACAGACGTATTTATGTAAACCAGCCTAGCATAGCATGCTTGAACTTGCATCGGCTTTTGTATGCTTATATACACAGGTCCATTATGCTAATGGCAAACAGATCTTAAGGTGTCAGTTATTTAGAGTTTCAGGGCAAGCAGGCTTGACTACTGAAGATGAAAATTCAATTCAAAAGCTACACATTGCAACTGAAATACTGAATATCTCAAAACTTCCATAGAAATATTACACATTTCTATTTTACTGCATATTGAATACCTAAAAAGAGGAGGAGAGCATTACATGTTGCAGCAACAACTCCCCTTCTACTGCTAAAACTTAAAATGACATGATAAATAAAATGTTGGGAAACTGATAATGACATGTAACCTGAAAATCCATTGCTGCTGAGATCCAATTCCACCAACCCATCCTGTAAAAGCTTGTCAGGAATTGAGCCATAGAACTGGTTATTTCCAAGTCTTAAGACCTTCATATTCGGAAAGGATCCAAATGAAGGGAGTTGCCCCATTAACCCGTTGTTCCCCAAATCCAAAACCTGCAAGTTCTGAAACATGTGGGTGGAATCTTCTGTAAAAAACCCGCCGGCCAATTTGTTATGGCTCAAGTTCATGTGCTGCAGAGTATTAGCCAAGCTAGACACGTTTTCTCGACTAACTGAGAGTGACCCGAAGAACAAATTTCCACTCAAATCCAGGTATTCCACATTCCTGAGCTCAGATAGGACCTCCTGTACATCGCCCCATATCCCATTGGAATGCAAATCCAGCACTCTCAACTGTTGTAAATTCCTAATTCCGCTTGGAAAACCCTTACTAAAATTATTATTCGACAGATTGAGATGATTCAAGCCCCAGAGATCGTAGATACGGGCAGGGATAGGGCCGTAGAACTGGTTCCCGGAGAGATCCAAGTACTGCAGTGACGTCATGTAGCCCAAAGCGGGTACAACCCGACCCGTGAATGAGTTTCCAGAAAGGCTGAGGTTTCTGAGCTGCCTAAGACCATTGAGGGTAAAAAACTTCAGTTCGCCAGCTAAGCCGAGGCCATCAAGGGAAATGGCGGTGACTGAGCCGGATTCGCAAGCGACCCCGTAGAAGTTGTCTGGGCAGGAATTCAGATCCGAAATACGCGTCTGATTCCACGACCCGGAGATTTTGTTCAAAGGGTCGTCCTTAATGCCTTTCTTGAACTCCAATAGCGATCTGACTTCCTGCTCCGCAGCTGAGACATTGCCGATAGAGAGAAGCAGGAGAAGCAAAGAGACTGTGAGACCGGCAGACATTGGAGTCACTGAGCAAGAATGTGAGTGATAATCAACAGTATGAATGAGTCATATTGAGTTGATAGGAAGTCAGATTGATCAATCTGTTGGCAGAGAAAGAATGGTGGTTGATCGCCTGGTTTGGGGCGGGGGTGGGGGTCGGTAGAGCAAAAGGGAATACAAGTTGGGGAAAATTAGGGTTTTTATATTGGAAGAAGTTCGAGCTAATGAGTTGTCTGCTTGTATTTTCTCTATGTTCGGTTGAGGAGATAGCGTTTACTTTAGAGTTACACACTTACATTAGTCCACATGGGTAGGGTTTTTAAGGGTAACAATATAGGCTATCTATAGTGGACAAAATGTCATGATTTTTACTACATAATATTTGTCAGTAGACATTGCACAATTGACAAACGCAGAAATTGTCAATGGATGGATAGACTTAAGTTCAATTTTTGGTAATTGCACTGTGAAACAATTATGATAAGTATAGAATCTCTGCAAATACTAAATGAAGGCTCCACTCTCTGCCACCACCAATTTGCGATCAAAATCCAATTTATCTCCTCTCAGTGACCGTCTGGCCGAGTTTGAGAGGTCCTCAAAGATACTATGGGAAAAAATTAAAATGATATAAAATTAAATTGGCAAAATGGTGCTGCGATAGCAGGTCGGTGATGGTGGGTGTGGAATTACCTCGGTGATGGGCCACCGGTTGTGGCGGTGCCTTGCCAGTGACGGTGGTGGTGGGCTGGTGATGGTTGTGGTGGAGTATTGTTGGTGAGTACGTGGAAGTGGTTCTGTACATACGTAATGACAATAGTTGTTTGGCCAACGATTGAAGAGATATCAAAAGATATAAGATAGTATTTCGTTTACTGATTTTGAAGATATCAAAATACTATTATAAAAATGAGAGATAAAAGAACTTAACATCTTCTTTTGTTCACAAAACATTCATGAAAAGAATTTGATGGTGAAATGGTGATGCATATGATCAATTGCATATAAGATTCACTACTACAAAAACAACCAAATAAATCCCCCCATTTGCATTGGTCAGCAAAACAAATGATTTAAATGGTAAAAAAATTCGCGTACCAGTTAGCATTTGAATCGGTTATTTCTAATCACCGATTCAAATGGTTATTTTGAATCGATTATTAGGAATAACCGATTCAAATGCTAATTAGCTTTTTGCATCGGTTATTCCTAATAACCGATTCAAATGATTATTGGAATCGGTTATTAGGAATAACCGATCCAAAAAGCTATTAGCTTTTGAATCGGTTATTCCTAATAACCAATTCAAATAACCATTTGAATCAGTTATTAGGAATGACCGATGCAAAAAACGCTGTTAAAGACAACCTCCAATTCATTATCTTTACGCGATTTTGAAAAAAAAAACCTCCAAACCCTTCTTCGTCGCGCTTGATGTGCTCCTTCGCCATTGTCGTTGCCTAACTCATTGCCATTTTCCGCCTCGTTGTCGCCGTCTTCAGCATCGCCGTCGTCCACTTCGCACTTGTTGTTGCCTAGCCACGCCCTCACCGTTGCCTCGCCTCGCTGTTGCCTAGCCTCGCCATCATTGTGCTTGCTGCCGCCAGCCCTGCTGCCCTGCCTCGTGTCTCATGTCGTTTTCCCTCGCCTCCTCTACCCTACATCGTGCTTTTCTCGCCTCCTTTAAGGTATTTTCTTTAATTTTTTAACTTTAAATATTTAATTATACTATTATTTATTTATATATATTTGCAATAGATGAATATTTAATTTACTATATATTTGAATTGCTTTTGTGTTTATGTTTTAGTTGAAATGTGATATTGTGATATAGATTGCGTTTGAAATATAGATTGTTTAATTACTTTTTGTTTGATTCTACATGATCTGAGATGTTATAATATAGAAATAACATATATTGACCGACCTAGATACTTCGGTTGGGGTACCGAAGTCTCGGCATGAAGGTAGAATTGAGGGGAAAGGAATAATAGGACATCACATCATCCATCTTGACTCTGGTGTGTTCAGTGTAGCACAGCTCTATATTTTACAACAAACGGATGATGTTCGTTCGTATTTAGAGAAAAACATGTCTCTTTTAAGACAAGAGAACCTTGGAAAAAGTTAGAGGTGGTTGACCAATGAGCACAATCGTATATTTCTAAAATGGTTTCAAGAGCATGTTCGCTGGAAAACAGTACATTCTCCTCATCTTGTCACAGAAAATGTGCGATCATTAGCTACAGGACCGTCGGTAAATGTATATTCTTACGAGGGTTATTACATGAATGACTATTATTTTTACACCAAACGTCAAGATGAGAAGAGTACAGTACAGAATAGTGTTGTGTCCTTGAATGCTTCTTCCCTACACATTCCTAGGGGTAAAGATTTGACACCGATCCTCTCATACAAAACATACTATGGCTTGATCGAGGATATATGGGAACTCAAATATACAAACTTTACAATCCCTGTTTCCGGTGTAAATGGGTGGATATCAACAAGGGGATTAAATCAGATGACATATGGTTTAAATTAGTAAATTATCAAAAACTTGGGTCATCATGATGAACCGGTTATAATGGTCTCTCAAGCGACGCAAATCTATTACATTGTTAATCCTAAATATAAAAATTGGTCTGTTGTTCGACAAGGGAAGAGGCTATCAGTTGAGTGGGACGACGGTTTATACGATGAAGCAACTCATATATCAATGATTGCGCCAGACTCATAAGTAGATGATATAGGAGCAAAATACATTCGCGAAGATCAAAAAGAAGGTTTATAGATAGAATGGGGAAAGAAGAAGTTAAAATAATGCTTTAGGTATTTTTTCTGTTTATAATGAGCATTTTCATTTAATTCATTGTTGTTTCCATTTAATTAAACTTATGTTATACATGTTGTTTTGAATTTGTGCAGGTATGGCAGACGAACAGAAGAAGAAAAAGGTTAGAGGTGCAAGATAGTGCGAGAAGTTGTATAAGAGGAAGAGGGAGGGTCACCCACCTATAGAGCTTGAGTGGGAGGATGGGGAGCCTGTATGTGGACCATTCGTGGCGGACTTTACTGGGCTTGTATGGTTTGAGGCCCGATTGAGAGTTTCGATTACTTATAATGACTGGCGAGATATCCCGGATGTCCTGAAGGTCACGGCACTAGACAGGGTTCGGGTATGTACTATTTAATCTATCCTTATATGCTAACTTTAATTGTTACATGGTTCTATATATAATAAATTGTTGCTTCATTTTCTTGTAGGATATATATGTGATACCGCCCGGTGGGTTTTGACATGTGATGACGGTTGCTGGTGCGAGATTTCACGCTTTTAAGACATATTTACGTAAGCATTATTTGACGGAAGGTGGGGATCATTACAACGAGACTCTCTTTCGTTGTTACAGCTACATAGAGACAGAGCATTGGGAGGAGTTTCAGATCCAGAACGAGACTCCGGAAGCTAAGGTAAAACATAATTACCTTCTTTGAATGAAATTAACTGACATATTAATTTATTTTAAAAAATTCTTTTTAGGCTTTGAGCAGACTAACAGGGAGCTTCATAAAAAGAATCCTTATCTGCAATTTGTGGGCCAGGATGGATATGAGATGCTTCAACGTGAGTTGGCTGCTTCTCAGGCCACCAGTTCTGCCGATATCGCTGGTTCGTCTACCAAGACGGGTACTCAGCTCGGGCGAGAGAACTTTTGGTTGAGAGGTCACGCCCCGGGTAGGAAGCCAAAAGTTACGGACCCTGCACTTATGGAGATTTGTGATAGGATAGTAAGCATATAATCTACATTCACGTCAATATATTTGTTTATTACTTGTTTATTATTTGCTTACCATTTCTTTACTTTTTTATTTCGAAACTGTAGGTCCAGCTGAAAGGAGAGGTGGCGGAGGTACCTTTGTGCAGAGGGGCACAATGATGTACTGACTAGAGTTTTAGGGACTATTGAGCACCCGGGGCGGATGAGGGCTGTTGGGTCATACGTGGGCTTACGTAAACTCTTCTAAGGCAACATGAAACCCCGTAAGCCTCAGGGTAACTATATGACTGAGCAGGACCTTTTGCAATCTCTTCCTTCCCTTTTGTAGTAGTATGGACTATCTTTATCCAGGGGTGCTCTAGAGTTTGGATCCATGTCGTAGCATACACCTTCTGTGGCACCTCATCAGTTTTCTTCTAGATAAGGAGTTTAGAATTCTCTCTTTATCAAGCTTTTTGGCTAACTGTGAATGAGATAACTTTGTTAGTTGTTCGCTGTGTTCATCATGTCTTCTTCAGTCTTCCATGGGAGCTATGTATAGGCTGCATGGATAATCTATCCGTTGAAGGGAATAGACTATCCGTTGCATTTGCTGGCTTCAATTTGAACAAAGAGGGAGATTGAGGATTCTCCTTGGAGTTGTGTTTGGACATACCCAATTGTTTGAGGAGGGATTCCTTTTTCAAGAATCCGTAATTTAGATGTTGTTCAAGAATCCTGGACTGTAGCTCTTTATTGAGTGGAGTACCCATTTTGTCTTCTTATGTTTGTTCAAGAATACTGACTAAGCTCTTCAATTTGAGGAGTCCAGACTTTGTCTTCTTGTCATTTGTTCTTGAATCAGCTAAATTATCCTCAATCTAGCCGTTGAAAATCAAGAGATTGATTTTTCCTTACCAACGGGTAGCATTTCTTCATTCATGACTTAGATAAATTTCTAAGTCTTTTCTTACTTGTCCACTTTCTGAGAGTTCCGGTCTTCCTTGAGACATCTGATTCTTAGCTTGACAGTTTCGGAAAAGTCATTCTCAAACTTCCGGGTGAGAAAGTGATCCGCGCTAGTCTTCCGATTCGGATGACTTAGCCTTTAGCGGATTGTAGCAAGACTTCCGGGTATCAACGAGCATTCCAGATTTGAAAATTCCAAAGTAATCAGACTTCTTTGAGAATTCCTTTCTTGTCTCTGATAATTCCGAGCGAGAGTTCTAATTTCTGTATCGCTGATTTTGGTAAGTCTTCAAAGTATGAACTCAGAACACAAAATATCACAAGTTTTATTTGAAATCTCAAGAACTTGGTTTTAACAATATTTCTAAAAAGAAAATTACATTGAATATTGGGGGTGACCTAAAGTCCCTATTACAATCTATAATTTTTACCAACAAGATCATACTCTGCTCAATGGATGCAAAGCTAGACTGATCTGGCTTCACTTTGCAAACCAATTCAAAGGGCCTAAAAGAAGAGAAGGGGTTAATATCACCCAATAATTTTTGGAATTGTGGTTTACTGCAAATCCAAAAACACTGATAGGCATGCTGCGCTTAATCATACCGGGATTCATAACATGGGTCCTATTGAAAGATTATAATGCACAAAAGAACGAAAAGAAAGGGAAAGAGACTCACCTTCTCATCGCTGATGTCCTGACTAATCTCCAAACCTAGTACTAGGGGTGTAGCAAAGCAAGGCAGAAGGCTGAAAGTCACGATCTGGATCTGCTTCAACTACCCTCTCGCTGCAATCTGAATCGAAGAAGAGGAGAGAATACTCAGTTGTTGTGCATGAACTAAACACACTCGCAGGAGGGAGAAGGAAGATAGCTGAACACATCTCGAAATGGAGCTTTTCTTGTTGACTTTAACTTGTTTCCTATTGTGTACAAATTATTTTTGGGCCTAATTATGGGCGGCCCACCCCACAGTTGTACAAATAAGCTGCAATATTAATAAATTGGGTGAGGTTCCCCAGACTCACCGCACCGATTTTGGTGTTTGTTTTCTAGGATTTAAAAAAAATGTGTGTGTGTGTGTGTGTGTCTATATATATATATATATATATATATATATATATATATATATATATATATATATATATATGGGATTGACTACAGTCAGATGACACCTTACGGTGAGATGACATGCTACGATTAGATGACACAAAGCTCACCACTAGCCACTGCAAAGCTTACCATATTTTTTCAACACTTTGAATTTTTTTTGAAAAAATAAAATCAAAGAAAGGGGTGCTGACTAGACTTTGACCATTGACCGTTGACCATCACCGGCCACCGACCTCTGCCGCCGGTCTCCACCGTGCCGCCGCTGCTGACTGGTGGTTGACCGGTGTTGTTATTTTATTTTTAATTATTTTTTTAATTTTCAAAATTAAAAAAGGTGAGTTTTGGTGTTCAAAGTGGTGAGCTTTACTTTATTTCCAGGTAAGCTTTACAGTGTAATGTGGTGAGCTTTGCGTTATCTCACCGAAGCATGTCATCTCACCGTAAGGTGTCATCTCACTGGAGTCAATCCCTATATATATATATATATATATATATATATATATATATATATACACACACACACACACACATATAGTATAAGCTATTGGTTCGAGGTCCAACTACTTTAGGTTACCACATGGGTTCATTAATTATATTTGTCCTATACTATGACATGTCTCTTTTTCATCAGACTGGAGGACTGTTTTCATGGAAGGGGTTAGTTTATTGTTACCGAGGGGTTGGCCCCAGGTGGGTCCTAAGAGGCCCTTTACGTAAATCGAGCACAGGAGCTAATCGGTGGAGACCTCGTCAAATGGCCGCCATGCCAAACTCTCTCTGGTGTGGTGATGGCCGAACACGCCCATGGTGTGCTTACGGCCGAGCCTGGCCTTTAGTATGCTCATGATGGCCGACCTCGAATTTTTTCTTCCTTAAGGCTTGAATGGGACAAGGCCAAACTTGAGTGGGACGAGACCGAGCATGGAGCCTTGCCTTCTCTCCTCACTTGCTTATGGGCCTCACATGATCTCCTCACATGAAAGGAACAAGAAGAGGACTCCACGCGCGCCGCCGCCGCCGCCGTTCGTCCGGCTCGTCACGTCTATGGCGTGGTGTGGCTAATTTTTTACGAGATCGAGTCAAACACGCGTGTACACTTCGAATAACGAAGTGATGGTAGTCAAAGCATGCATGCACTTACAAACGAAGAGTCACTTGACTCTTCGTAATGTCTGACAGGTCTAGCGAAGAGCCAAACTCCTCTCCTATAAAAGGAGGGCCGGAGGGCTTGGCTGCAGGAAGGAAAAACACACTCGAAAAACCTCTCTCTGTAATACGTATACTCTTCCGAAAATTCCCCGGTTTCCGATCATCTTCTCCTGCAGTAACGTCCCGTCATTCTCGTTCGTCAATGCACGGTTCTACCACCCTAGGTCTTGCACGTAGCGGTTTTATCCTGGGAAGAGATTGTCCACATTTGCCAGTGCGGGAGGCGAGCAATACTACCTTAAGGAAAGCTCTGTTCAAGAAACTTCTCTGGCGACACTCTACTACCCGACGTCTCTGTCCGTTCGAGCTCCCAAAAACTCCAGTTTTCTTTTGTTTATTTTCGTTGTAAAATTCAAACGTTTTATAAGTTCGGATTATTTTACTTTTATTTTATTCCCGCTGTAATATTCAACAATCTTAAGGTAGTACTTGATGGAGTTCGGATTCGGCATCGAGGGTTCCTCCAGCAACGGAATGAGTTCCGAAGTTCCGGTAGAAACCTCTTCCGTCGCCATGGTTGTGCCGTCCTCACCGCTACCCTTCGGGTCAAGTGTGGGGGCCGCCACCATGACCTCATTTTCGATGCCGAGCTCGATCTTTGGGTCGGCCCCTCGACTCATTCCTGGGCTCGAAACCACGGGTGGTTACTCCGTCGGTAATTCGACTCGTTCCTTGGACCGTCTATGGTTTCGGCCACGACGGTCAACTTCGGGCTGAACGCGGGTTTCAACGCACTGGTCAATCTATTTGTCGGACCTCATTGGGCGTCCAACGGGCCTTTCCTCCATACGCCCAATGGAGTTGGGCCAATTTCAGTGCCCGCTAGTACGGTCTAAAGGCCACCAAAGTTCCAGGGCACGGACTTCAAGATGTGGCAACAAAAGATGACGTTCTTCTTGACCATCTTGGGATTTGCTGAGTACCTACAGCAAGATCCTCCCTAGGCAAATGACGGGCTCGACCCCCTTGTGGCAATGGTGAACCAAGAATGGTACCATAATAACTATCTCACCATCAACTACATCCTCGAGGGGTTGGCCGAGACGCTGTACCCCGTCTATGCTGGTGTAAAGCTTGCAAAAGAGCTTTGGAGTACCTTGAATAAGAAGTATCAAGCTGAAGATGTCGGCACGAAGAAGTTCATCGTCGAGAAGATGCTTGACTACAAGATGGTTGACAGCAAATCTGTTGTCGCCTAGGCTGAGGAGCTTACGGTAATCTTCAACAAATGCAATGAAGAGAAAGTAGGCGTCAGCGAGGCTTTTCAAGTGGTGGCCATCATCCACAAACTTCCACGCTCTTGGGAAGACTTCCAAGTCGATCTCAATCTCAAAAGAACGGAGCTGAACCTAGAGCAACTACTCACGCGGTTGAGAATCCGAGAGGAGGGGCTTGCTAAAAGAGGTGAAGGGGCGAAAGCGAATGTGGTAAAACATCCGTTAGGATCTTCACATGGCGGGAAGGACAAAAAGAAAATAGGTACTAAGGGTGGCATTTCTAAATTTGCAGGGAAGTGCTACAATTGTGGCATTACCGGGCATTGTTCCTCCGATTGTAGGAAAAAGAAGCCACAAAAGAGCAAAAAGAAATACACTGAAGCCATGTGTGCAGAGCTCGACAACTTGGACCTCTACGCAGTTGTCACCGAGGTGAATCTTGTCGGGTCAAACCCGAGGGAATGGTTTGTTGACACACGAGCCACACGCCATATTTGCTCAAACATGAGCATATTTCACGACTTCCAAGAGACCTCCGGTGACAAGGTCTGGATGGGCAACTCGGCCCAATCAGAGGTTCAAGGCGTTGGTTAGATTAAGCTAAAAATGACCTACGACAAGGAGCTAACGCTTAACGACGTGCTCTATGTGCCAGATATTCACAAGAATTTAGTGTCGGGGTCATTGCTGATCAAATACGGCTTTCGGATGATGTCTGAATCAGATAAGCTAATCTTATCCAAGAAAGGGATTTTTATAGGAAAAGGTTATATTTCCGATGGGCTTGTAAAGCTAAATGTAATGACTGTTCATGAAAAGATCAATAAAAATCTCGTTGCTTATGTGTGTGAGTCCTCTAGTTTATGGCAAAGTAGACTGGGGCATGTTAATTATGCATCTCTTCGGAAATTAATTAACATTGAACACATTCCTAAGTTTAGTATTCACTTAACTCACAAGTGCAAAACTTGTGTTGAGGCAAACTCATCTCGAAGTTCGTTTCAAATGATCGAACGAAATACTCAACCTCTAGAGTTGGTTCACACCGACTTGTGTGATTTTCGAACAACGCCTTCAAGAGGGGGTAATAAGTACTTTATTACCTTTAACAATGGTAGCACGAAATATTGCTATATCTATTTACTAAAAAGTAAAGATGAAGTGTTAGACACTTTTATTCGATATAAGAATGAAGTGGAAAATCAACTCAATCGCAAAATCAAAGCATTAAGAAGCGATAGAGGTGGTGAGTATGATGCTCCACTTAATGAGTTTTGTGCACAACATGGAATAGTGCATCAAGTAACCCCACCTTATACACAACAGTCTAACGGTGTAGCGGAGCGGAAAAATTGCACTCTGAAAGACATGATGAATGCGATGCTACTTAGTTTTGGATTACCCCAGAACGTGTGGGGGGAGGCTGTTTTATCAAGTAATTGTTTACTAAATAAAATACCTTGTAAGAAACTTGACAAAACTCCGTATGAACTTTGGCATAATAGGAAACCTTCCTATAAGTATCTCAAAGTGTGGGGGTGTCTCGCAAAAGTACTTGCACCACCACCGAAAAAGATGAAGATTGGTCCAAAAACAGTTGATGGAATCTTCATCGGGTACAATAGTACGTCATACCGGTTCTTGGTGTACAAATCAGATAATCCTGAAATTCACAAGAACACAATCATACTGAGATGATGGATAACGATGATCCAAATCAGTTGAATTCCGGTGACGATGATGAAGTCGAACATGAAACTGAATTGATACGGAGTAAAAGAATACGAACTGAAAAGACGTTCGGTTCTGACTTCATAACATATCTGATAGAAAAAGGAACTTTGTCATTTCTAATGGAAAATGAACCCGATATTCTAACCTGTTTGGTAGAAAAGGAACCACAAACCTATCATGAGGTCATAACCTCAACTGAGGGACCTCAATGGCGAGAAGCCATAAAAAGTGAAGTTGATTCTATTCTTTAGAATCACACGTGGGAATTGGTTGATCTCCCTCCAGGGTCTAAGCCATTAGGTTCTAAATGGGTCTTTCAGAGGAAAATGAAGCCTGACGGCTCCATTGACAAGTAGAAACCTAGACTTGTGATCAAGGGGTATAGCCAACGCGAGGGCTATGACTACTTTGATACTTACGCGCATGTGACTAGGATAGATTCTATCAGAATGATCATCGCATTTGCATCCTCACGAAACTTGGATGTTTACCAAATGGATGTGAAGACAACTTTTCTAAATGGCGAACTAGATGAAGAAATCTGTATGGAACAACCTGAGGGGTTTAAGGTTTCGGGCCAAGAAAAGAATGTCTGCAAACTTGTGAAATCATTATATGGTCTTAAACAAGCGCCAAAACAATGACATGATAAGTTTGATGAGGTAATGATGAACAACGGTTTTAAGATAAATGAGTCGGATAAGTGCATATACTTTAAGGACACATCTGAGGGGTATGTCATTTTATGTCTGTATGTAGACGACATACTCATTGTTGGAAGCAACGACAAGATGGTTAAGTCCACCAAGGACATGTTGAACGCACGATTCGATATGAAAGATTTGGGTCTGGCTGATGTGATTCTTGGAATCAAAATAATAAGAAGACCAGATGGTCAGAGCTTGAGCAAATCCCACTACATTGACAAAATCCTTGAAAAATTCAACAAGGAGGATACAGAGATAACTAAGACGCCGATAGACGTAAATGTTCGCCTTGGTAAACACCGAGGGAGTAGCGATTCTCAGACAGAATACGCTAGAGTTATCGGAAGTCTGATGTATCTGATGAGCTGCACACGGCCAGACTTAGGTTGCGCCATTAGCAAACTAAGTAGGTATACCAGTAATCCGAGCACTGAGCACTGGAAGGCCATAGTCCGAGTGATGAGATACCTTCGGTACACTCGAGATTACAGCTTATGCTATGGAAGGTATCCACCCATGCTAGAAGGATACACTGATGCCAATTGGATTGCAAATAATAAGGATTCAAAATCTAGAAGCGGATTTATCTTTATGTTAGCCGGTGCAGCTGTATCGTGGAAATCCTCAAAGCAAACGTTAATTGCCAGATCCACCATGGAGTCTGAGTTTATAGCACTAGATAAGTGCGCAGAACATGCCGAGTGGCTTCAGAATTTACTTGAGGATATTCCAAACTAGGAAAAACCAGTTCCTCCTATTTGCATCTATTGTGACTGTTAGTCAGCAATAGGACGAGCTCAGAAAAAATCGTATAATGGTAAGTCTAGGCACATTTTCCGTAGACACAAAACCATTAGACAACTCAATACGGGTATTATCTCAATTGACTTTGTCAAGTCAAAGGATAATTTAGCGGATCCATTAACCAAAGAGTTAACAAATGAGCAACATGAGAAGTTAGTGGTAGGAATGGGTCTGAAAGCCCTACCCTGTGCTGGGAATGTTCCATGAAGGAAAACCCAACCTAGGTGGTACCTGGGTTCAATGGGACAATCTACTTGTGGAACGAAGCATGGTCACTGTGGGGCAAGCCGGATCACCGACTTAACACCTCTCCATTCCTACTGAGATACAGTGACTCCCAAAAACGATGAGGTTAACATGATGCTGTAATGATTCTTGAACTATGGACAACGAGGTCCAAGTAGAGTAATCGGGATATTCTTGAAGAATCACCTATGTAAGAGTGAAGTGCGGTCGAAAGACATCACATTCTACTGAACAGCCAGTAAAGTAGGTATACTTTACAAGGAGTGGGTTCAAAGGCATTAATTACAGAGTTATTTCGAGTTACATGAATTAATTTTCATTCATGTGGTGGATTGTTGGAAATTTTAGATAATTTGGACATTTTTGGGCATAAATTCAATAGGGTCCACAAAATTATTTTCCGAAATAATTATGGACGTTTAATCTCGTAAGTAAGACGAATGTCTTGACATATTACACGTCATAAATGGTGCTCGGGTGAATGAGAAATTAATTCTCAAAGTTGAATATGAGGGAAGAGTAAAAACCCTTGTCCCACACCGGTTTTTGAACCTTTCATATTCTCATATTTAAGCTTAGGCTTTTAATTGAGCTTATGAAAAGAACAAGAAGAGGACTCCTCGCGCGCCGCGGCGAGGCGAGGCATGCGCGCCGCGCCCACATCTGCGGCGTGGTGTTAAAGCATGCATACACTTACGAACGAAGAGTCACTTGACTCTTCGTAATGTCCGACAGTTCTAGTGAAGAGCCAAAATCCTCTGCTATAAAAGGAGGGCCTGGCTGCAGGAAGGAAAAACACACTCAAAAAATCTCTCTCTGTAATACGTATACTCTTCTGACAATTCCCCAGTTTCCGATCATCTTCTCCGGCAGTAACGTCCCGTCATTCTCATTCGTAGGTGCACGGTTCTACCGCCCTAGGCCTTGCACGTAGCAGTTTTATCCTACGAGGAGATTGCCCATGTTTTCCAGTGCGGGAGGCGGGCAATACTAGCTTAAGGAAAGCTCCGGCGACTCCGCTTTCCTTACCTCTATTTAAGAAACTTCTTCGGCGACACTCTACTACCCGACGTCTCTGTCCGTTCGAGCTCTTGAAAACTCCAGTTTTCTTTTGTTTACTTTTGTTGTAAAATTCTAACGTTTTATAAGTTTGGATTATTTTATTTTTATTTTATTCCCCCTATAATATTCAACAGTTTAATGAAACATTTATGCTCTATTGAATAGTAATAAAAATATTTAGGAATGGAGGTAGTAATGTTTTTAAACTAATACATATTACTCGAAAAAATAAAAAACGGACAAAAATTCAGTACTTTTTTTGTTTAATTGAAATTCAAAATTCATCCTATTTAATTCAAAAAAAATTAAATTAAAAAAATACACTAAGACGGAGTGAGACAAAACGTTAATTATGGAATATACTACTAAACCAACCGTATATTCAAATTGTGCGTGATAGTGTGTGGCTAAAAACCACACGAGTGATATGCATCAGGTTTTCCTGAATATTTGTTGATTTTCAAAACGTTTATTAAATAAAAACTGTTTCAATTAATTAGATAAAATAATATTTTGAAAATATTTAATATAATAAATCTAATAAAATTATTTTTATATCAATGTCTAACATAACCTTTATTTAATTTAAAGAAATCCAAAAGAGTTAAAAGTGGGAGTAAGTATATTACTCAGTGGCGGAGCAATGTTAGTGCAAATGACTGCAATTGCAGTCACTTTAATTTTCTCTAAACATATATATACAGTAGTTTTACCCTTTGAGTGACCTTCTTAATTACTTATGAAATACCAGAAAATTATTGTGCTTCTCCAATTAAATGATACACTCTGGTCAGAGGGAGGAGAGATAGCTCTAACAATGTTATTTTATGACAAAGAGTGCCTAGGCAACATGGGCAGTGAAATACCGGCAACGGTGGCGCTCAGGGCCGGCCCAATAGGGGGACAAAGTGTCCGTCCAGGCCGGGCCCAATAATTTAAGGGGCACAAAAATCTTTTTAAGTTATATATATATATATATATATATATATATATATATATATATATATATATATATATATATATATATATATATATATATATGGAAACCCATCCCATTAAGGCTCAAACCCAGCCCAACCCCTCACCCCTTATCTTACTCTCCCCCTTAGCCCAATTCCCCAATCCACTCACTCCATGTGTAGACAAAAAAAGGAATCGATAGACTACCGAAGAAAGGAAGCAGAAGAGCGCAAGACCCAATTGCGGAAGAAAGGACACCGAAGAAAGGACGCCAGCACGCTGTCGTCACGCCGACCTCCACCCTCCAGGTATTCCATATTCAATTATTCTTAGTTTTGCCAATTTTGTAATTTTTATTTCTGAAATCTTAATTTTCTTTCAATGTTTCATTTTTTAGATTTAAAATCTAGGGTTAACTTTTAGTTTTTAATTTGAAATCTTTTCTAATTTCATCCTTTGAAATAGAATGAATTAATGGATCTATGTGTTATTTATTTGATTTGGATGAATTGATTTGAATTTGTTATTTAAGATATATTCATATAAAAAAATCGAAAATTGAAAAAAAAAATTAAAAACTGATAAATTGACGAATTAATATGAATTTAGGATTTATAAAAAATTAAAACTTAAATTTGAAAAATAATTAAAAAAATTGACAAATTGATATGAATTTATGATATATTTATTTATTTTATTGCTTTTTTAGTTTTTCATACTTGATTTTACTAAGTAGTAGAATTTATGAATTTGGATTTATTTTCAAAAATAATTGAATAGCTATGGCTCTTAAACAATTATCCGGTAATCAAAAAAGAAAAAAGAGAACGAGATGAAGAAATGAGAAAGTTCAAGTCGGAGCTATGAAACCTGTTGCTGAAGATGAAGAAGTAGAAGTAAAAGAGATGGAAGTAGGGCTGGACACAGTACCGGTACGGTACCGTTACCAGCTACCGTCACCGTCGCACGGTACATAACAACGGTGCCGGGAACCGGTACCGGAACCGCCCCTCTCGATACTAGTTCCGGTGCCCAAATTTTGGTCCTAGAACCACCGGTATCGGTTCCGGTACCGTGATTTTTTTTGCCCTGCAATCTTCCAGCCCACCACTTGCAACTGCAAAAAAAAAGGAAACATTAAAGGGGGAGGGGAGTCTTTAACGAGTGCCACGACCTGCAAAAAAAGAAACATTATCATTAAAGGGGGGAGGGACCCCTCAAACGGCTACTTAGCCATTGAGGGGAAGGGGAAGGGGAAGGGGAGGGTTTGGGGATTTGGGGGGGATAGGGATTTCTATTCCTATAAATATATTCATTTTTTTTAAAAAAAAAATTCACACTCTCCTCTCTCAATTCTCAACTCTCTATCTCTCAAATCTCAAATATTCTTAATGTCTCATTTTTCAATCTATTCCTCATTTCCTCTCTAATTATCTATTAATTCTTATTATCTCTTTTTCAATCTTTATATACAATTTATATTCATATAATAATATAAATATATATTGATATATTATTATTTACTAACATATTATATTATTATTTTTTTATAAATTAATATTATAATTTCGAAATTTAATCTATAATTAATATTTTAAATATTTAATATAGTCCTTTTTATCAAAAAATATATTAAAATGTCGAGAGAGTCCGGTAAAAGGTCCGTGGATATGGGCGTTGTGAATCGAAGTTTGAGGAAAGGCAAAGCTAAAGTCACCTCTGACGGTTCGACCTCACACGGTTCTCGAGAAAGACACTCAGTCTCTTCCTTTCCTACTATCCCCGATCAACTCATCGGGGACGGTATGACGGATGAAGATTTCAACCAGTACATTTCTGGTAGAGGGGACGCGAATCTCCCCACTCTTGATAGTTTATTCGAGGATGTTGATGAAGCAGGATTGGACAATCTGGACGAGAACGAGGAGCCTACACCGCACAACAACGACGTCGACGTGGAGGCAGGTGAGCCCGAGACCTATCGAGGTCCGAACAAAGGTAAAATAATTAAAATCATATTTATTTGTTTATCATTTTCAAAAAGAAACAAAAGATGACATAGTTTATGGAACTTGTAAGTATTGTGGGGCCGTCATTAAAATGGGAGTTTCCGGCGGTTATGGTGGTCTGGAAAAACACCTAAGGTCGATGCATCCCGTGGAGTACGCCAAATACGCGACGAAAAAGAAGGGACGACAAGAAGTGCAAACCCAAATTTCTCGGTTTGCTAACAGGGGTAAGGGCAACCTTTTTACTTATAGCGATGAGCAAAATAAGCAAAAAAATGGCTGAAATGATTTGTGGAGAAAATTTTCCATACATTTTTTCTGAAAAACTTGGATTTATTGATTATTGTCAGCATGCATTAAACCCTCAAGCAAGAGATATTTCAAGAAAAACAATTAAACGAGAAATTATTCGCCACTATAAACTTGAAAAAATAAATTTGGAATTTTTTTTCTCAATTTTAAGTCTCGTGTTGCTATTTGTTCTGATATTTGGGGTGAAACATATCATAATTTGTCTTATATAGGTGTTACTTGTCATTGGATAGATAGTGATTGGATTATGCATAAACGTGTTCTTGCATTTCATGATTTCAATGATTCTCATACTGCTGAACATATTTTTCTATTGCTTCAGAGTATTCTGCGGGAATACAACTTAGTTGATAAAGTGTTTGCATTTGGTTTTGATAAAGATACTAATAATACTGCTGTTATTCCTAGACTTTGAGAAATTTGCCCCCCTACTACCACTATGGGTAGATTTATGCATCAACGGTGTGCCTGTCATGTTTTAAATTTATGTGTTCAACAGGGACTAGAAGCTATGGGGGGGGGGGGGGTTTGACGAATATTAAAGAAGGAATTAGAAGAATTTGGGGGGCTCGTCTTATTTCGAGGTCCTGGAAGATATTCTGTAAGTCTAAGGGTAGAAGAGAAATCACATTTGCCAAGGATATCAACATTAGATGGAATAGTACTTACAAGTTGATAGCACAGATTCTAAGCTATAAAGAGGAACTTGCTGAATTTTTTAGGGATGAACTTCATATAATCATTTCACCTATTGAATTTGTTATTGTTGAAAAATTGAATGTCGTATTAGAAGTTTTTAATAACGCAACTCTTAGTTTTTCGCATGTTTACCAACCAATTACAAATACATTTTTTTAAATAGTGTGTTACAATCGCAACATGTTTTCGTGAAAGTATTGGTGATGAAGATTTGTACCCTTATGTCTCTCCTATGAGAAATAAATGGTGTGCTTTTTATTTTTACATTCTTGATATTTATAAAATAGATATTATTTGTGATCCACGCTTTAAGATTGAAAATTTTAAAATTCTAATTGACTATTACTACACTTGTTTTTAGATGCAAATAGTTATTACTACAGCCTTTTAATAGAATGGAAAAAAGAAAGAGATAATGCTATAACTCTTTTTGAGAATTTGTTTAAGGAATATCAAGGGTTATACGGTACTGTACCAGAAGAAACTGCACCTCCTCTGCCCCCCAAATCAAAAAAAGGTTTTAAAGAAATAGTCGGTGAGCTTCTTGCAAAGAAAGGGAAGCGTGTTCAGCCTTCGACGAGTTCAAGTGGTACAACAGTAAGTTCGCACAACGAACTTGCTATGTACCAAGGGGTGCCATGTGATTACGACGACGACGACGTTGAGTTTGACGTCCTCGGATGGTGGAAGCGGAACGAACACATGTTCTCATGTCTCAGAATGCTAGCAAGACAAGTGTTGTCCGCCCTGGTATCAACCGTAGTAGTTGAACGAGAATTCAGTGCTGGAGGCAACATTCTAAACACTTTTTTGCAACCAAGATTGGCTCTTGGCAAGACGTCGGGCTCAAGAGTCAGGATATGAATTCAATTCGGAGAATTACATGAATGCAACCACAGATGGAAGTCCGAGTTATGAGAAATAAGTTATAAACTTTTTTTTATGTTAATGTAAATATGTAATTAGTTTTTTAGGTGAGCGATATATAAGCTCCTTCGAGGGTTTCTTTACGGTTCTTTACCTCATCGCTTTTCTTGAACCGTCGGAATATTAAATGTAGTTGTTCTTCAGTTCGTGTATTACTTATTTTACAATATTTAAATAACAACTACATTTTTATTTTTTATTTCATTCTTTCCTTTAACAATTGCAAATTTACAATTTTACACTTTAAAAATTTTAAAAAAAAAGCAAAAAAAATAATTAGGGGTGGCTGAAATCGGCTGGTCCGGTACCGGAACCGCTGGTCTGGGTACTGGAACCGGTACTGCCCGGTCCGGTCACGGTACTAGGGGTGGACACGGTACCGGTACGGTACCGTGACCGGCAACGGTACCGCCGGTACCCTCCACCGTCACCGCCGGCCAGGAGGTTCCACCGGTTTCGGGAACCGGTACCGGTACCGCCCCCACGGTACCGGTTCCGGTATCTATTTTTCGGTACCGGCACCGGCAGTACCAGTACCAGTTTCGGTATCTATTTTTCGGTACCGGCACCGGCGGTACTGGTACCAGTTCCGGTACCTTTGTTTTGTCCAGATTCGCCCCCCACAGCGCAGTCCATCCGTCGCCATCAAGCAGCCGCTCGATTGAAAGAAGAAGAAGAAGCACTGCTAGTTTCCGAAGAGCAAAAAAAGAAGCAAAACTATGTCGTTTTAAATAAAGGTTTATATAAATTCTTTGACCCAGCCCAATACTCCATAGCCCAATAGCCCAATTTCTCAAAGAAAAGAAAACGAATTACTCATTCGTCGCCTCAGGCTCTCTGCTCTCATCTCCATCACCAGCTTATTCCACAGCAATAGCCAATCGAAGAAGAAATTGGCGAGTCGACGACTGGAAACCGGAGAAGAAATCGGTGGCCGGTCCGGTACCGGAACCGCCGGTCCGGGTACCGGAACCAGTACCGGCCGGTCCGGTCACGGTACCGGTACCAAGGGGTGGCGGTACCGGAACTGCGGTTCCGGAACCGGAACCGTACCGTGTCCACCCCTACACGGTACCTGTACCAAGGGGTGGCAGTATCGGAACCGTCCCGGAACCGTACCGTGTCCACCCTTAGATGGAAGAGCAAGAGCATCTACAAATATGGTAATTTGTTAGATCATTAGGGATAATATTTCTAGAGCCTTTTTTTGTTTCGGCCCCGGCATATGAAATCTAAGGACCGGCCCTGGCGGTGCTTCTAGATCTGTTCTTCTTTTCTTATTTTTTTTGCTTTTTAATCTTTTTTTGGTTATTAATTTGATAATTTAAATTTTTTATATCTGGTGATAGTTTTTAAATAACAAAATATACTCTGTTAGTCTGTAAATTTGTATGAGCATTATTTAAATCACGAGCATTAAGTCTTAGCTTTATACTGTATTAAATTAGCATGAGAATTATTCCCTCATTATTTCATTTTAATCACTTTTTTTCAACATTTCTTTAAAAAAATATATAGGCACCTCAACTATTATTTTAGTACTCTCTCCGTCCCAATTTAAATTGTCTGTTTCAGTTTACGATTGATGGTAAATAATACGTAGATCGGCCCACATTTCCCAATTATTTACGAAGAATAGTCAAACCGGGCATGTTTAATAAAATGGAAGAATAAGAGAATATTCCCCGAATATGCTTCCCCTCCTCTCTTATAAAAATAGGGTTTGCCCTCAATGTTGAGGGAGCCAAAAATCACTCCTTCCCTGCCCAAACTAGTTTCTCTCTCTACATATTTTTAGAGTGTATTTTTCTTCTTCTTCAAGAGCTTCTAGATCCACCATTAATGGCTTCCAAGCCCATTTCATGTACCATATACACACCCCCGATATTAATAAAATTCCCCCGTTGGCAAGGTACCGCCAAAAAAGGCCCGTGGTTTTCTCCCGAATTGGGTTTCCACGTCAAAATTCTCGTGTTTATATTTTGATGTATTTTTTTAGACTAGTTTATCATTTTTGTCTGGCTAAAAACGATATACCGGCCGATAATTTACACCATCATTTTGGCGCCGACCGTGGGACAAGGAACAAAAGGTCATAAATTTTCAATCCCTTCAACTTGTTCTTGAAGAGACCCAAAAATTGGGGCATAGTGATGGCTCAAAAAGAGAAAAAAAACAGAGAGAGAAGGAACGCAAACAAAAGGGAAGAAAGAGAGATTGCTGGACGTCTTCCTAAACAATGCATGGCGGCGGATGGCGCCCAATTTTTTTTCACCACCGCCGTGCATCTTGCAACTACATGATGCTCCGTCGCCGCGCGTCTTGCGACCACAGGATGCCTCGCTTGCTGGACGTCTTCCTCAGCTTATGAGCTTAAGTCCATATAATTTGGGCTAGATTGGGCAAAATCTAAGGTCAACCAGCTCGAGACTGCTGTTCACTCAAAATTTTTGAAGAGATCTGCCGTCGCCACTAAAACAAGCAACCCCACTGCTGGAAGATTGAGTTGCGACCACTCACCCTTGCTTGGTCGGAGGCCAATTCATTCCCTCTCATTGCCATTTATTCTTTCTCTCTCTAGATTGCAGATTTTCTTCTTCTTCATTGAGCTTATAGCTCCACCATTAATGGCTTCTACGCCTAAATTATGTATCGTGTACAATCTCCGATATCAATAAAAATACCCCGTTGGCAAGGTACCGCCTAAAAAGGCCCGTGGTTTTCTCCCGATTTCACTACAAAAATCTGTCATTTCTGTGACAAGAAAATTCCGTCGTAGATATTTTAAATCCGTAGCAGATCCCATGTAACACCCTAATCCGCCCAGGTCTGCAGCCCCTTTTGGACTAAAGTATTAATTTGGTAATGTAAAAATTTCAAACATTTAAAAACTTTATTTCAACAATTGTACTAAATATTTCATAATAACATCAGAGTAAAATTATTTAAAATAGTACGGAAGCGGTTTGCAAATTACAACAGTATGGTCACCACGCATCACCTCCATCTCAGTAATCTCCAGAATAGGCTCCACATTTATTCTCTCTCATACCTACGTGTAAAAAGATGAAAAAGTCTACACGCTCAGCAATGAAGCTGAGTGGTACCATGGCACAACAAAAGAATTCAAAGAATAATTTTCTTAAACAATACCAATCATATATGTTCAAGCATTTCTTTTTCATATTTAAATTCATCTTTGTTATTTTAACAAGGATAATGAACATAGTCGATTCTTAAATATCATCATTCAAACTTATGTAGTAATTAGTCCATAATTCACAATAATTACATGTAACTTTTGTTATCACAATATTCATCATTTGTTACACATAATTTCATATCAAATTTTATCACAATTTGCTCCTAACTTATTCTAAGTTAAGGCTAAATTATATCAATGCTCTTAAACTATTTTTAGTCTAAGTCAAATTAATATTGATAACATAGCTCTTAAACTATAACTAGTCTAAGGCAATATTTCTAACCAGGCCCTTAAACTATAAATAGTTTAATGCAGAACACAAGAATCGATAATCCACCCTATGAGTCACGTGGATTACGTACCAAACCGAACAGTGATCTGTCGGGTGGGTGGTATCCGATCTGGATCCCGTACGTACGTTTTAACCCCGAATTATGAATTGGTCAAGGAGGTATATCTTAGAGTTCTTCTAGATATCCTTAATAATCATTATCAATTTCCAAGTGGGTATATCTTAGAGTTCTTCTAGATATCCTTAACAATACACATTATTTTCAAAATCATCAATATATTCATTCATAATTATTATTTTAATAAGAATATTTATCAAAGTCTGATCATAAATAACATCAATAATAATCATCACAATATCCAATAACAATAACGGCCTAACACCGAGTGTTAACACCCTAGCTTATCGTCATATATCATGTAAGGTTCTTTAGTTGTCCAAAAATCATTTTTTTTACTCTAAAAAAATGTCTTTATATTGATGTAACAAAAATAGGACTTTATATCTTCAAAAATAGCATTCTTCGACTTAAAATGTTCATAACGGTCGACCGTTGGATCCGCACGGTCGTTCGCAAGAAACACGGAGTTACTATTCATCATCTTCAACCTTTGATCCAATTTCTCAAAACACCATAAAAGCTTATAAGCTTTAAACTAACTTAATAAAAATGTTTTCTAACGTCCATAGATCATTCACAAATGATTTATTTGATTCTTTAACAACAAAACATTTTTGGTGATTATGAATATCAAAATATTTATATCTTCAAATATATATGAATCAATAAGTTCAAGGATCATTCCAATGCCTTCTAAAGTTGTTTAAAATCATGGTACAGACCTGGAAATCGACGAGATGAAGCTCAACGAACGAACGGGAGCGAAAACAACGTTGGAAATCTTAAAACTCGTCACTTTCCGTCACCACTGTACCAGCCATGGTTTTCGGGCCATATCTCCTTCGTTACTCAATGAAATCTCGAACCGTTTGAAGCTACGGATTCGTAAGACATAAGGCTACAACTTTTGTTTAGAAACCAGATTAAAATAACGACGTTTAGAGGGTGTAAAAATGCTCACAAGTGGGCTGATTTGCACAGGGAATGTTTTATTCATTCAACTTTACGGGGCAACTTCCGGCAAGAACCGTGGCTACCTCCGGTGACTTTCACGGCGGCGACCACTTGCGGATTGTTCTCCATATAACAAGGAGTAAAATAGAAAAAGAATGAAAAATTTTGGTGTAGGGATGAAGGAGGAATTGTGCTCCTTATATAGATGGGATGAAGATGATGAAGCCAAGAATATCCTCTTCAAATCTCCATTTCTAGGATTTGGAGCGGCTGGGTGGGATTTGAGGTGATTTCACACGCCTCTCCTGATTGGGACTAAAATGTTCCCAATCGGGGTACATTTTTTGTCCAACTTTATCCAAATTGAAATTTTATTATACCGTTACGGTTAGACAGTCATGCTCTATGTGACAATATAATTTTCACATTTTTTGGAATACTTTTTATGACACCATATTTTTGGGTGTTGACTTTGACAGAGTCAAAATTGAGTTAATTGACATATAATTAAAAGTACTCTTATATTTAATCAATATTGTTCAATTTAAATAATTTATTTCAATATATCATTTTACAAAAGTTCACATCTTTGACCTCTTATCATTTTTATGCAAATTACATATTTAAAAGGTCACAACTCAATATCTGTACGTTAGAGTTGTTCATAAAATATATCGTTGGGTTTGTCTTTTCGAGACCTATTCATAAAAGTCAATCTTAACAAAAATCATTGACTCCAAAAATTTCTTCGTTTTTGGTCAAACATAGAAATAATGTTTTCTTGGGTCAAAATATTGTTTCTAAACTACTTTTATTATAGAATAACTTTTAGACCATGTTTTGGGGCGTTACATCCCATATTAGCTATAACTTTGCGACCAAAGACGTCCGTCGCAGATTTGTCGTTGCCCCGCCAGAATCTGCGACGGAAACGTGGTTTCGTCGCAGACGTAGCGACGGAAGTTGCGACGGAAACCGGTTTGGTAAAAATTGCGAAAACATGGGACACTCTGCGACGGATTCTGTTTCCGTCGCAGATTTGTGACAGCTGCTTCACAATGCTTCACGAGCAACTTTACGTCGTTGGCGGGGAACCCAATCACCGTGATTCTCACCGTGACATACCCAATCGTGGTAATTTGGTATGAATCCAAACCGGAGTATGTGCTATAGCATCCTTGCTGATGATCTAAACGTAACATTCTTACACTTCATGCATGGACAACACATTTTCTTATTCGGCATCTTATACACATTCGGACTTGACACACAATACTTTACGAACCCTTCAACATTATCTTTCCATAATTCACTAACAACACCTTCTCTCTCATACTTGTTATACATCAAGTCACGATCTTCGAATGGAAGACTCATATTAACAATGCCTATCAATTGAAAGTCATCAAGCAAGAAACTTTAACCATACTAAATAAACATGAGATAGCCCATTAACTAAGTAAACATAAAAAAAATCCTTGGTAATAATTGAAAGACAATAACCAACAATCTCTAATCATGAATATCAACCACAATATTTTACAAAAAAATAATATAAAAAATAAAGTCCAACAAATAACAATGTCTAACCACAAACAATAATCATGTAAATCTAAAAACCATAGTAATTTCACACAATTTCAACTCTAATTCCCCTAAAAAGCTTTTAATTTCACAACAGAAAATTATTTTTACCTAATTTCATGCCAATTTCAACCATTATTAAAGCAAATTCATATAATTTTAATTCAATTTAACCTAAAATCTTATCAATTTCACAAAAATATCAATTTCATCCAAAAATGGTAAACAAATTAAAAAACCTTGGTGGAGGAGGAGGACGGAGGATGGTGGGCGAGGAGGAGGAGAAGGCCGGCGAGTAGAGGCTGACGGAGGACGGCGGCTGACGAATGACGGTGCTGGCGGACGAGGGCTGGAGGACGAAAACGCAGGCGGACGACGGCGGAGAAGCGCTGGAGGAGGAGGCCGGAGCGGATAACTGGCGGAGATGTGGCGGCGTGAGCTTCGGTGATGAAGGGCGGCGTGGGTTCCGGCGTAAGGAAGCGTTTGTGTTTGTGTGGTTGTCCCGTAAGTGGAGAAGGGTGAGACTTTTTTAACTGAAGCCTGCGATGGAACAATCTCCGTCACTGCTTACCGTCGCAAGTCTGCAACAGAGAAAAAGATCTCGTCGCTGATTTTGTTGGCGGCATAAACTTTTAGTTTAGCGCCAAAACTCTGCGACGGTTTGCTTTTTTCCGTCGCTAATCTGCGACGGAATTTGGTTTCCATCGCAGATATTTTCTACATTACCAAATTGACCTGCACCCGTCACAGATTTCTCGCAGATCTGCGACAACAATTGTTCCGTAGCAGATTCTTGTTACAGTTTTGGCAATTTCTTGTAGTGTTTGGGTTTCCACGTCAAAATCTCTGTGTTTATATTTTGGTGTATTTTTAGACTAGTTTATTGTTTTTGTGTGGCTAAAAACGATATACCGGTCGATAATTTACACCATCAACGATGTTAAAATGAAATTATTTTCAAATCATTTTATATGAAAAACAATGCATAATTAAAAATTACATACGGAGTATTTAAAAACTACATCATAAGATCTAAAACTAGTAGTGACATGACTGTATTATTTTATCAAATAACTAACGTAAATAAAGAAAGAAAGTGAATAAAATACTCCCTCCGTTCACAAATAAACTTTCTGTTCACTATTCACATGGTCAAACTTTATTCACTTTGTTGGCTTATTTTTGTCACTCATTTGATAAAATAATATAGTCATATCATCTCTAGTTTTGTAGATCTTTTCATATAGTTTTCTAATATGTAATTTTTATTTTTGAATTTTACACCATTTTTCATATAAAATGATTTGAAAATAACTCTAGTCAAATATCGTAACGCAGAAGTTTATTTATGGACCGGATAGAGTAGTATAGAAAACCAGAATCATTTGAAAATCAACCGTAACTAAACTCCGTCGTCTGCTCTGTGCTCTCACCGCTAAGGCCACACTCACAGAAGATCCCTAAAATTGCCGACGATGAGAGGAACTGAGCGACGTCGCGGGGGCAAAAAGTCAGCAGCGAGGGACCGTAGGCCCCCACCTCCCACTCCAACCGCCGCCACGCCCGACGATGCGTGGCGGTACATGTCTGCCGGCGGCCGCGACTCCGACGCCAGCTTCGCGAGCAGCCGACCATCCTCATCTTCATTCGGCCTAAACCCTCGTACATCCGGCGTCATCCTCACCGAACGGAACTACCAAACCTCAGCCATCCGTGCGGTGAACGCCTTCCTCTCCAATCACTCTCTCCCATTCTCTCTCAAGCTTCCCCTCCCTCTCTCCAAAGATATCACTCACACCATCAGATTCATCCTCTCTGAATTCGGATTCCCGGCTCAGAATATTGAAGATGAGTTCTATTACCTAGTGAAATCATTAAATTGCCCAGTGAAATACAACAAATCTGCACTTCGTGCTCCTGGAACTCCTCATTTCTGGCCTAGTTTGCTCGCTGCAATTCACTGGCTGGTTCAGCTTCTCATGTACAACAATCACCAGTCAAGCTCGACTCAGACTCAGCTTACAGTCCCGGAAAATCGGATGTTTAGATATTTCCTTGAGACGTATATGCATTTCATCAGAGCAGATGATGATGAAGTGGAGAAATTGGACAACAGAATCAAACAGGAAGTGGTTGATGAAAGGCAGAGAATCGTTGAAGAAACAAAGGCATTGGAAAGGACTGCCCAGGAGTTGGAGGAAAAGCTGGAGGTTATGAAGGTGGGGCCTAGTGAGGTGGAGGTGTTGAAGGCTGAGAGAACTGCATTGGAAGGGGTCATGAAGAAGTCCCGTGATATGCTTGAGAAGTTGGAAGAGCATAAAGCAGCAAGGAGTGCAATTCTGGAGGAGAAAGAAAAGTGTTTGGAGGTTAAGATAGCCGAGAAGGAGAGGATTTTTGTGGAGAATGAATCTTTGAAGAGGAGGGTGGAAGAGCAGGGAATCAATGCCAGGGATGCAGAAAGGATGAAATGGGACTTGCAGGCCTTGGAAGGAAGCATTGCAGAGATTGAGGATGCAAGGAATAAATGGGAAGATAAGGGGTGGGAAGTAGACTCTATGATTGGACATGATTATAAAAAACTTGAGCAGCTTATGATTGAGGCCAACCAGGCTATGCGAAGGTATCTGTGTATCGATATCCCTCAATTGCCTATAAGAAAAAAACATGGTCTCCACAAGTGAATTTTATCTATGCTGTGAAAAATTCTCAGGTTAAAACTAGGAAATGAATTCCATTTTCAGTTGGAGGCAAAAGGATCCTCAACCAGGGAGGTCTTAGGAATAGACTATAAATCTATCCTAAAGCCTGCACTCGCTTCCTTGGATGAGGAAGTTAAGAAAAGTTCCATGGAGAAATTAGAAGGGTTGATCTCTCTTCGGAAACAAGACGTGGACAAGACTGCCAAAATTGAAGCAAAAAAGAATCGTATCTTCACTCTTGAAGCTCACTCCAATGAGGTAAACTAAATTGTACTGGTGGAAACCATGGTTGCATTGTGGCTAGCAATCCTAGCATCAATATATGACATATGTGAGGATACTTTGTTACTCGTCACACTGGGGAATTGGCAATTTTTTGCGTAACTTACAGAGATATGTCATATATGAGTAATCTTTTCTGTGTGTGTTGGGGGGGGGATAAGATGATAAGATGAAAGTAGTGCCCTAATTCAGAATAAATAAAATAGCATTTAGGGATTCGGTAAGGATTTAGAAATCATGAAAAATGGAACATCAAACATATGTACATGGCTAAGTTAACTCTTAAGAAATGGGTTTTGGCCTTGACCAACATCTCTTTCTGATGCAAGAGCAGTGAATCAATCTTTGAGCTTTCTAAATTGACTTGATTTCTTAAGAGATATACTCCAGCATAGTAAATACTAGAGATAGTATAATTCCCTGCTGCTTTAGTCATATGAAAATTTCTGTACTATGACCAAAACTTCCCAGGTACCCCTAACTGTATGATTACTAAAATTCATATGATTAAATATAGGTTCTGAGACTACCCTCTCACGCATAACAAGAAAAACTCACATCATAAAGTTCACTAGTCTCAGCTCTCGTCCGTGCAATGTTCCCTTGTCTTGTTTGGTGAAAGTGGTATTGTTTTGTTTTATATTCAGCAGTTGTATAAAATTTAGTATTTGATGAATTAGGTTGAAGAACAGTTGGACTTAATGCGGAGGGAAACAATGGAGTTCGCTTCTAGAAATGCAACTGAAGCGAAAAAGATGGTAGAAGCTGCCGAAGAAGAGGGTCAAAGCATGGGGGTTGTTGAGAGGGAGGCAGCAGAATTAGTCAAAGTATATTTCCCTTTCCGAATTCCCATTCTGTTTTTTTTTTTTGGCTCAGTGTTATATCCTCTCTTGAAATTGCCTTTTGTTTGAAAGCATCAAGATGATCTTACAACTAAGTCATAACCATATATGTGTGTGTGTATGTGTGTATGGTTTTGAAGGTGTCAAGCGCCAAATTACAGGAAGTAATAACCCAAAGTGTGAGAGAAGTTCAGACATGTGCTCGCGAACTGTTTGTGCGGGTTGATTTGGTATCAAAGCATAAAGAGAACATCTCTTCAAAGGCTGCAGCCATTAGGAATGATCTCTTTGAGACTGCTTCCGCCATAGCTGATATTCACAAAGGAGTTTTGCCAGCACCAGATGGTCACATCTCATGATAATCAGGAGATATGTTTTGCCCTCCCACTACGTTTGGTTAGTTTTTATGTAAATTATTTTGCTGTTTTACCCAAAAGGAGATTCGTTTGCATATTTTGCCATTCACTTGCATCTTAATTTGTATCAGCAGTTTTTCACAGCACTTCTGTCTTTCGTTTCTTCATTAGCACCTCTTTTGTCGGCCTATATTTTAGCAGTATCACATGAATTTGTATTGGTGTAGAAGCAAATTATTGTCAATATGAAAATTCACGCCAGTAATAGGTCTCATACGTCCATATTTGTTTTGGCGAATTTTGATCCTCAGAATCAACCAAAACTAGTAATTTAGGAAGTACTGTGGATGCTAATGAAAATTCAGATGTTATCTACTTTTTTAAATTAGCAACATCATCTGATTTCTTCATAGAATCTGAAACAAGTACAACATAAACCAACTCCAATTGATTCTGGGAATCATCGCTTAAACTGCGAAGGTCAATGTCTTCTAGCTGTCTTCACAAATGGATGCTCCAATAGTTCAGCGGCCGTAGTCTTTGACGTTTCTAGAGCCATACTCTTTTCAATTTTTGTCATTTTACCGTGGTCAAACTTTTACAATTCTCATTTTAAAAGTCAAAACAGAAAAAGTTTTACAGGATGGAGGTAGTATTAATTACTCCCTCCGTCCACAAATAAACTCTACATTACGTGTTACGATGTTTGACTGAAGTTATTTTCAAATCATTTTATATGAAAAATGGTGTAGAATTGAAAAATAAAAATTACATATTAAAAAACTATATTAGTAGATCTACAAAACTAGAGGCTACATGACTATATTATTTTATGAAATGAGTGACGAAAATAGGCCAACAAAGTGAATAAAATTTGACCCTGTGAAAAGTGAACGTAAAGTTTATTTGTGGACGGAGGGAGTATAATACGAAGTAATAATTATAAAAGTGTTGCTATATCCACTCATATTTTAGCTAAATCTACTCCATTTATGATAAATTGACATCTTTTTCCTAAATAGTTGGCTTGCATCTTAATTTCCTCTTTTGTATTTCTAATAATGAAATCATAACTTTGCCATAAATTGAGTAGATTTTAGCCAAAATGAGAGTGAATATAGCAATACCCTTATAATAATAATAATAATAATAATAATAATAATAATAATAATAATAATAATAATAATAATAATAATAATAATAATAGTAATATTAATAAAACAAAACAAAAACAAAGGCAAGCTTGTTGAACTACTTACATTGTTGCAATTAGGGGTGGGCATGGAACTAGTTCTTGTTGTCCCATTCTGAAACATTTTGACCATTTTGAAATTGTTCTGTTTTATTTGGCATTCATATTTTATTTGTTTGCTTGTTTTGTTAATTTCGAAAATTCCAAATAATGGTTGGTGTTATTTTATGGGTGTTTTTTAAATGTTTATATTAAATCCTTTATGAATGATAATTGATTCATATTAGTTTTCCTCAATTATTATGCAAATTGTTGTTAAATTGGTTGAATTGCATGATTTGATTTCATAAGTAGGTTGATATGTCGAATTTAGTTTTCATTGAAGCTATTTTAGCTCCATATTATAGTTAAATGATTCTCAAATTCATATGTGATTCTTTCTTGTGACCTGTGTTTGGATATTTTTCTTAAGATTCGCTATTGAGTGATTGTTTTTTCTTGGTGTTCTTGTTTGTTATTTTCATAAAAATTGGGAATGTTTAAGCACAGTAAACAACTCTTGATTCAATGAAAATATGTAGTGTTCTCTTATGTGAATAGACCAGAATTTCTTATGCTTGAGTTGTTCAAGGAGACAAGTAAAATATTTTCATCATTAGACGTTAAAGTTTATTAAAGTGCATAAAATGTTCTTTGTGGATAAATTATGCATGTGAGTTAGAATGAAAGAAAGTTACGCAGTTTTATAAACTTTTTCTTCTTTTGGAATCATTGTTTGAGCTCTTGAAGACAGTTGGGGTCCAAAATGATCCAAAAGGCCTTTGAATTACATGATTCCGGACGTTATAGAGAATTGACGATCCTTTGTATGTGGTCAAGGATATGATTCAACTCGAGCCTTTGAATTATTTTCTATTTTTATGTGCGTAAGTTACGTAATATATTGTCTACGTGTCTATTATACGTGTAATATTTGGATTGTGTTCGTTCTCTTTTTAATTTTGTTTCAGTTTCTTGGCGGTGTTTTTTGGGTTACCTTAGTTGGCGAATTTGATTATCTTTTGAGCTTGTTTTCACCTATTTTATCAAAAAATATGAAAATATAAAAAACAACAAAATATTTAAATTTTATTCAACCCCCCTTTTGTGTTATATTAGTATAAGTTTTTATTTACTAAGTTTATTTAATAATTGTTTGTTTTTAAGTTATAAATATAAGTTTTTGTACTTCATTTACTTTTATATACTTAAGTATTTGTTATGAGTTTTTAGGTTATAATATAAGTTCTATGTTTATATAAGTTCTATGTTTATATAAAATATATTTATAAATTTTTATATTTATTTAATTAAAAGTTTTATAAGTGTTATCATATGTGTAGCAGTTAGTTTGTTTTGTTTAGTGACAATGTGTGTGCATGCTTAAATAATTACAAAAAGTACAAACTTTCTCAGTGAGATCGACCTTTACTTGCCCTAGCTATAGTTTTTGTTTGATTATATCGTGGGGGTTAGTTTGATTATGGGCCGTGTCGGCTTCGAAGCGGTCAAACTTTCATCATCGTCAACATCCAACGAGCGTTGGACCCCTCGGGGCTACAATAATTTTTGGACTGCGACGTCTTGGTCTGTTTTGCCCGGGTGACCTCACTCGACACCGGAGCACACTATGGGGGTGCACACAATATCTTACCGCTCTTGGTACGTGCCCAAGACTGTTTTTAAAATGTCTTCGTCACGAGCCCCGCTTTGCCGAGTGAGGGCGGTGGAGTTGTGTATACCGGCAAACTTGTTGACTTTTGCGTTCAAGTCACAGTATTTGGAGGTGATGGCGTCGACGTTACGGTAGGGCTCGACGTTCATAAGGGCATGGAATTTCATTGTTACCCTAGCCCAAAAGCCCTCTAGATTTTGGGTCGTCCCTTAACGCAAAGAAAAAATTTGCAAGCGAAAAATTTATACGTAAAAATTTTAATAAAAAGTGTAAAGTAACAAAATTAACCTTTGATTGGGTCTTTAGAAATGTTCGCCCACACCCGGGCCAACGTTTCCACCTCCGTCAGGGTCCACACTCGCTTCGCAACCCGACTCGTGGAGTTTTGATTGCGCACGACCTTCCCTTTGAATTTTCAGGCTCGTTACATATGGGGGGACGCTCTCAACGAGTGTCGGTCTGGTTGTTCCAGGAACTTGTGATGGATTTTGTAAATAATTGCGTGCCAATCGAGAAATTGCAAATAGTTAGGATCCATAATATAGTTTTTGATAATATTTAGAGAAATTTTTTAAAAAATAGGTTGAGAGACTATATTGAGAGAAGATGTGATTTTTAAAGGGGTGTCGTGGGTTTAAATAATAATTTTTGAAAAAAAAATTTTGAAACGCCTAGTTTGGGGGGAGGAACAGATGTGGTGACCGTGATGGCCATCACCCCCATCACGATGACCCCATATGGGGGAAGTGTTCCACACCGTGATGGCAGGTGATGTGGTGCCTCCTGGCCATCACGGCACCACCACGGTTTCCATAGAGTGTGGTCCAACAACTCTATTCTATTTAGTATTTTACGATTGAAAAAAATGCATCTATAATAAACTCATACCATACTCCAGCTGTCCTAGTTGAAAATCCCATGTGTGTTTAACAAAACTCAAGTGAAGTTATTTTCAATTCAATTTATTTAAATATTAGTGTAAAATTAAAAGATGATGTGCTCCTCGTTTTCGTTGACCCGTCTGTTTCTTTCTTTCCAAATTTCATGTGTGATGAGGTCTGGGATGCTAGCGATCAAGTCTGTGTTTCCTTTTTGTTTTTGGCCTTGTTTCCACCAATTGGTGATATAGCTCAGAATACCATGGTTGATTCCTCTGTCTATTTTGAAAATTTCCTCGAAATATGCCCATATTTGTTTACTGTAGGGGCATCTCTGGAAGAGGTGTGTGCTCTTTTCTTCATTGTTCCTGCATAAAAAACAGATAGAGGGGCTATGATAGCCCATTCTAATTAGTGCATTGGGGAGGAGGAGATAGCCAAAGCATAGTTTCCATAGGAACATAGAGTGTTTATGGATTTGCTTAGAATTCCAGCAGTATTTTGTGAAGGGGTGGATGGGGTTTTTCTCTCTAAATAAATTCTTTGCCTTCTTCATGCTAAAACGAGCCTCATTGTTATTCCACCAAAGCCTCCCAAAATCATGTATGTGAATTATACTCTAGGCCATCTCATTGATTTTGTAGAGTCTTTTCCAATATATTGAATCAATGATTTTGGGAGCTATGTCAAGACCCCTAGGGTATCTCGCCCTCATAAACTTTGCCCACATTGAATCATTTTGTGTGTAGGTCCACCACATTTTAAGTCCATATGCCTCTTGAATAGTATTGATATCAGTTAGACCTAGACCACCTTCCTCTTTAGGGTAGCATAGCTTCTCCCATGCTGCCCAATGATATTTGTTTTTACCATTGGCTTTTCCCCAAAGAAAGTTGCTCATTTTTGTCTCGAGACTTTTGATAATGCTTTTGGGTAGTTTGCTGCACCCCAACAAGTGTAAAGGAATTGAATTCAGCATATGCTTGATTAGGATTAGCCTTCCATTCATGCTGAGAAGCTTTTTATACCATCCCAGGAGTTTGCTGTCAAAAAGTTTAAGAATGCTTGTGCAATATTTCTGTCTGTTAATCCCTTGATGGATCTGAACACCTAGGTATTTAAAAGGTAAGGTACCTTTGTTCATACTTAGGATTGCCTCAATCCTCTTCATGGTTGAATGGGCAGTTTTTTTTGGAATGTAGAAGGAGCACTTTCCTTTATTTATTTCTTGCCCATAGCACTCTTCATACTCCTTTATCATCTTCATCCGTTTGGTTGTATTCTGTGTACTTCCATTAGTGAAGAGAATGAGATCATCAGCATAGGCTAGATGGGTAACTGGTAGGTAGTGTCTCCCCAGGTAGTAAGAAGACAAGTGACCAGTATATGTTTTAGCTTTGATGGTCCTGCTGAAAGCTTCTGAAAAAAGAATAAAAAGCAATGGGGATAAAGGGCCCCCTTACATGAGCCCTCTTTTAGGTTTGAAGCTCTTGGTTTGAATGCCAATGACCAAAAAGGAGAAGTGGGAGCTCTGGAGGAGATTAAGAAGGAGAACTTGAAATTTAGTATTGAAACCAAATTTATTTAGGACAACAAGTAGGAAATTCCAAGATATCATGTCAAAGGGTTTTGACATGTCAAGTTTAATAGCCAAATTTCCCCCTGGTAGGGTAGTCCAGACCATGAATGAGTTCTTGTGCAATGAGGATCTGATCATGGATGACCCTCCCTTTTACAAATCCTCCTTATTCTGGGGAAATAAGGTTTGGTAGAATTGTGCTCAACCTCTAGGCCAGAATTTTGGAAAGGATTTTGTAGTTGAAGTTTGACAAGCATATAGGTCTATAATCCTCACATGTGCTGGGGTTTTCTTTCTTGGGTATGAGGATTATGTTTGAATGGGATAGGATTTTAGGTATTTGAATGGGATATATATATGTCAGATCTTATTTTGTACATCTTTTGATGTAAATTTAATTTTGATACTTTTTTTTGAAAAAGTTAATTGTTACATCCTTAACTCAAAGTATCAAAATGCAAATTAAAGCATCGCAGATAAAAGTCACAGGAGTAGACCACGACTCCATGCAGACGATCTGGCTAACGAATGAATCACCTAATTCCCTGATTTTCTAAGTACTGCCAATGAATGAAAACGAAACTCTGCCATCAAGGGTGTACAATCATAAAACACGTATTTATACTATGTACGACTATCCTCCATGATATGCAAAGTTAGAAAAAGCGTCTCAAGAATAATCCTTCGTTGCCCTAAGCGATTTCATTGCCTCCCGCATGCATATCACTTTAACCACTAGAGCATCCTCCACGTTTCCCGTGAAGCAGTGTGCATGGCAAATAGAATTCTCTCTTGCATCTCGCACCACCATTTCCACCCTCGCAATCCTTGTATATAGATTAAGGGGGGTGTATTCAATTCGGATTTTAAAATATTTTAATAGATTGTTTAAATTCATGGATTGTATAAAATTTCTAGATTATTTCAAGTCTACGCAGAGTTTGATATATTTTAATGTATTTTATATCAGGATTTTGTAGGATTTTGAATTCATAAAAGAAACCTAATCATTCCTCCCAAACACCTCCCACTATCCTTTTCTCTACGACTTGCTCTCTCTGACGAAGCTCCTCCACTGCCGCCGCCGCCGCCGGAAATTTTGATTCTGCTCTCTACTTGGAAACTCTGACCAACAGATTTTTGGCTCTCTTCTTCTCTGGAAGTTCTTGCCCTATAATATCCTCGACGAGGAAGAAGATAACAAATATGAGCCTTACTCTGCCGACCTTTGTATCCCAGGAATTTAGATTATTCCGGCACTGTTTGTGCCGACTTGCAGAAGGGGGGCTGCAACAAGAAATAGAGACCGAAATAAAAAGTTGAAGCTTTTTCCTCTTGGATGGGCATAAACATAGAGATGGCAAAAGGTGAAGAATTCAAACAAAAGTTGAGCAAGAGAAGTCCAGATCTGCAAGTGAACCTCATAGAAGCACTGCCGAGAAGAGGACGGCGAGAATAAAGAAAAACCCTAATCGTCGGCTACAGGAAGGAGACGAGTCACAGAGTTGCAAAATCTTTGCATTTTTTGTCAGATTTTAGACATAGATTTCAATTTATACTACAAGCCCAAAATCCATCAAAATCCATATTTTATACTTATCATTTAAAATCTATTGATTTTTGAATACCATTAGATTTAGAAGGATATTTCAAAATTTAGAATACATCCAGATTTGAAATGATTTTTTTAAATCCAAATTGAATACTTACTGACTTTTGAAATCTATAAGAAATACTACAGAATCCAGATTGAATACACCCCCTAAATCTTGTATCTACAATTTTTCTTCGGAAACAATGCTACAAATTTTTTGTGACAATTCACTATAACGTTTTTGTACTACAGTTCTTTTCTCATAACGGCAATGAGAATTGTTTTTCCGATATTCCATTACAACTTTTTTCTGAAAAGAGCCGTACAAAAGTTGTGAAAACAACACAACAAACATTCTTTAAGTGTAGCAAATCTGCTACAATAGTGTACTATTAAAAATAACCAAGTTTAGCCATATTTTTCTATAACTTTGTTTGATGGTTGAAACTTAACATACCCCACTTGCTTGGGATTCTTGTTCTTATAAAGAATACTTGTATTAAATATGATAAAAATTAGATTCTTTTGTTCACATAGGACTTCTCAACGACAAAAATATGCTTTGAAACAGAGATAATAAAACATACTCTAGATCAGTATGGTGGGAACTGCCATGGAGGCCAAACTGTTTAATAAATGAGAACTCGCAGTTGAAAGAAGCAAAGGTGGCACCAGATAAACTCATCTCAACATTAATTTGTAGAAGTAAAGAGGGCAGTTTGTGGCTGGCTTCAGATCACAGAATGTAAATGTACAACAGTGGTCGCTAAACAGTGTAATTTTTTACAGTTTCAGATGGTACATACATAAAATGTGGTTAGACTTCGGGCTGTCGATCAGGGATTGAATTATCATGCATTAACCTTGTGATATCTCTCGTGGCGGTAGCACATCTTCAGCATTCAGAGGACGCCCTAGTTTAGTATATGTTATCATTTTGCCATATTTATTTACCTGCAGAACAGTTGATAAAGGTCAAGTACAGTCCAATGAGAGTAATATACCATTCAAGCCACGGTAAACCGTAAAAGTAAAGAGTGTTCAAAGTGAGAAGTCTGCAATTGTGTACTTAGGGGTCAGTTTGGATGGAGGAATTCGGAGTAGCAGGCCGCATAGGGCTTGTTGGAGTATATCGTAATAACTAGAGTATCTCTAGATAAAATAAAGAAGTTTAATATTTCAATATTTCAAATAAAGTACTCCGTATATCAAAAACTAGCAGTCAAAATCATTCATCCAAAGTATATGAGAGGTGTGAAAGGAGGGTTGAGGGATACATTAGTCTTCTTTCACATGTTTTCTGTTTTTACGACTCTCAGAACTGGAATCCAAGCCCAAGCAGTTGAGGAACGCTTGCTTAGCTACTCCAAGAAAGTGGCAAGGGTGTCGAATAGGCCTCGAATGGATTGCATCTTTTACAGATGAAGATCCATTATCCATTTCTTCTCCTCTTATGGCGTCTCTGCTTGCACTTGTTTCTACACCTCTCTCAGCACATTGAATACCATCTCCCTCCTGCAATCCAATTCTTCGTCATCTTTGTTCAAAGATAAGGAAACTTGACATTCAGTTTAGAAGAAAGAAGAAAAATATCTAGGCCAATATCCCTAGTGATAGTTTCTTCCTTGAAAAAAAAGAGAAGTAGCCCAACTCTCAAATGCCCTAAAGACATATTTCGACAATTTTCCCTATCTCTAACAAGGGGCTCTGAATTCAAAACAGAAACCACAATTTCGATATGCACATTTCTTCTACACAAAACAGTGAAGTGAAAATCAATGATATGAGATGGAGAAGTTTGGGCACAACCTTGAAGATGTTTCAAATCAAACTGTGATGGAGATAGAGAATCTATATTGAAGATCAAAATTTGAAAATTCCATTTCTAGGAATGCTTGCCCAGTTCACTCCACATACAAAAACTGAATCCACATAAAACACACAGATTCTCTAACAATAAGAGGAACCCTAATCCCTTTTACATCCATTTTTTTCCTAATCACAATTTAAGAAGCTATTCCCCAAGAAGGAGCGAGGCCCATTCAACTTCTCTAACACATGATTACGCGAAAGAGCGGGATAATTTATCAAATTCAATACTAAGTTCAGAGGAGCAAAACACTAAAATCCGAAATGTTTCTGAAGACTGATTAGATTTTGAAGCTAAGACCGATAAAAAGACTGAAATTGGGGAACCTGGTCGGTGCGGTGAGACTGTCCGCCGGCAAGACAACCGTTGAACCTGGCGGCTGAGGGGGCGGTGAAGGAAGTGGAGGCGGAGGTGTCGGGAAGATCCAGAGCGAAAACGCTAAACCCAAAGAAGAGTAGAAGAAGAAGAAGGAATGTGACAAGCAGTTGAATCCAAATCAGCCATGGTACCTTGTAGCTCTCAAACAGCAACTCCTCTCCGAACTCGTGCATCATTCATTCCTTTTAAAAAGCAGTATATGTAAATCGAAGCTGGGAAAAAAAGGTTGGCGATGGCAATGGCGATGTAGACGAGGGATGGGTGAGGATGGAGGAGCGGTGACTTTGAAGGAGGGGAAGTTGTGAAATGTCCTTTTTGTTGAGTAATGCTAAAAGCACCTATAGCTTGCCCCCGTCCTCTCTTGATTCTCTCTCCCATTGAATTAGGAAGAAAGGGTTGAGCAAAATCCAATCCATTCCGAAATTTCTTAAGAATATCGTTGAAACCGAATAAAAAAAATCTTTTCACAGGACTGGGTTGTGTACTTGTCTTGGGACTTGTGTACCAACAATATTTTTTTTGTTAACGTCAGTCTTTTGAATAAAAATTTAAGATGTAGATTAATTTTTAATGTTATATTTCAGACCAAATATTGTTTTATATTTCAAGCTTGTGCATGTTTGATATACTAAGCAACTAGTTTGAATCTTTGTTTTTTTTTTGTTTTTAAATTTTTTCTTTTTACCCCACAACATAAAAAAAACATACGAGTACATGTGTTGTCTAATTTTGAACCAAGCCCATACCCATATGGGTGTTGGGAATTGCTCGATCTTTCTCGCTTCGTGAAGTTAAATAACCGAGAATAACTCGGGTCGTCTCACAAGAATTGATTTAACAGAGTAATTAATCTTGAACTAGAAAAACTTAGAACAATCAAGATTCAAGCAGAATGATAGCAATAACGGAATTAATTCAATCAATGATTTAGAAACAGGTATGAATCAAACAGATATATGGACTAAGGTAATAATCTAGATTAAATTAACTTTTTGATTAATTAGATTTTAATTCATTAACTTATCCTATTTCTAGACCTCATTAATGTGTCTAAATATGGCTGGCTAGAATATTTGTCCTAACTCACAGACAAGCCAAACTAATCATCTCCAAGGATTAATTAATAAATTGGCCAGATCTATTAATTAGTTAATCTCATTTTAGACAAATATTCCAATTAACCAAGTAACTAACTTCATTTTAATTAATTATATTAGCCCATAACCTTAATTAAATTCATACCTTAATATAAATTTAGCCACAGAAAGCCATAATAGCTCACAATTTAAAATAAACTATAAAAGATACTTTTATTGATTAAAAAAAGTGTACAAGAAAGCTTACAGATCTCGAGGAATTGAATACAAATATGTGAATATTTAAACCAACACTCTAGGACGCTAAGACGGGAATCTCGAACTTAAAATGGAAAAAAAGAAAAAGATTTTTTGATGATGATGAGGGAGAAACCGAACAGCGTATTTATATTCGGAGTTCCTCACATGCGGGCAAACAGGCGGCCGCTTGTTAGCCCGCCGTCACCAATTTGAAGAATTCTAGAATTTCGGAGAAATCTCGGTCATCAATAGGCGGGCGCCTACTAGCCCGCCGGAACCATCCTTCGCTGCGTGTGCATGGTTTCACCACTGGAGCCCAAATACGCTGTTTGCTTATTTTCGGCAGGTGGCTAGGTAGGCGGCCGCCTGCTTGGTCGCATGTCCTACTCTCAGTTCTTTTAACATCATTTTGCTTAAAATTCAATTCTGAACAATTTTTCCACCTGCTCCGACTTCAAATTCCACCTGAATAGGAAGGTATAAGTAATTCCTTATTGAAATCAAACATATTTTAATCTTTTCTTGGCCCATTCAATTTTACCATTCTAAATAATAAAAAGATAACTTTTAATTGAAATATACTCTTTAATAAGATGAAAAAGTATTCTTATGGGAAAAAAGATGTGTTAAATGTGAGCATAAAATTAAGTACAAAACGAGTTTATCAATCTCCTCACACTTAAACTTTGTTTTCCCTCAAGCAAAAACAACTTAAGTAAGGAAAAAGAATGTCATGATTAGTTGTCAAAACTCGTAATTCGTGAAAACTACACGAAGTTAGTAATCATAAATCTTTCAATTACTTTCTGCAATTTCCTTAACTTATTTTATTTTTATTAACAAACTAACTTGTTTCTTAAATCTTAAGGAGATGCACAAGATATCATTCTCTAACCAATTCCCAAAGGATCTAATAGACCTTAGGCTTAGGAAATTTACTCCTCTCTCATGAATTAGATTAATTATTCGTGAATATCCCATAAATGTCCCAAGGATATTATTTATTATTATTAATTAATTTTCGTTGGTCAGAGCTCTGAGGGAGATAGAATACTCACTCATAATGCTAGTAGACTATCGAGATTATGGGATTATCCCATTTTATTTGCATACTTTCTCCCTCACCTTATGCGATTCATGGGAGAAGCAGAGCTCCTTCTCGCGGAGATAGGATTCCCAATTCGTCACTTAAGGGCAATCTGAATAGTTAATATTAGAAAATAACGGTGTCAGATAAGAAATTCCAAAAACCCAAACTATTAGTTATTAGCCCTTATCCTTTCCAACCATTAAACCCATGTGCATCACTTAACAGATAAGAAACGAGTTAATTTATTAAATAAAAGAGAAATTTAATAAGAAAACGAGAGAGTAAGAAAAATTGACCATAACTTAGCGTGAACCAAGAATTACTAAGTTAGACAGCAAATCATACCTGATACTCAAACTCTACCTCCTCACACTTAAATTAGACTACGTTCTCGTAGTCCAAATGTAAGAGATGAGCCAAGGAACATGGGTAACATTCCTCCTCACACTTAAAACAAAGAAATAAGTGCAAGTATGAATCTATAAAAGTTTTCATAAATTAGTTAGAGTAGAAAAATAAACAAGACAAGTCAAAATAAAAATGTTTGAAATCATCAGAAATTAAAAAATCTCCACTACTGGTGGCTGGCTCTAGAGGAAGGAGTTGTAGACGCAGACTTCTTACCGAGCATCGTCTCGCCCTAGCAGCTTCTCGGTGTTTGACTCCAGACGCTCATTCATGCTCTTCAATTGCTTCGCGTGGGACGCAAACTCTGTCTCCATGACGTCCCTCGCATCCCGGGCACTAGTCTCTAAATTCCCTATCCTCATGTTCATGCTCCTCATCTCGATCAAGACGTTTTGTAAAATGGATGCCTTAATGCCACTCGATGAAGCTGTGTGAGTCCCAAGATGAACAAATGAAGAAGATCCTGCAGCCATGAATGTTCAAGTAATGGCGTCTAGAATAGGGGAGTGGATAGTAGTCTCAAGTCCCTTAAAGAGATCAAGTGGCGGCTCGTCTGTATCCTCAACTCGACGCCTCTTCACATTCCCCATCTTCGGGAGAGATGTGGTGCTCAAGGGATGAATGCTTTGGTCGATGGGCAACAGATTACCTGGCATCTAAGGCAGAAGGGAACTTGCAAGGCGAGTAACAAAAGGTCCTGCTTGAATAGTCATCCTATGGATCTTCCCCTTAAGAAGGAAGAACTTAGCCATGAAGACAGCTAGGTTCACCTGAACCCTCTCCGCCAAGCTAGGTTCACCTGAATGCTTACGGGGCTCTCTTTGTAGTAGGCACGTCTCAAATGTGGCTGGCAGCGTGACATTGAGAACCTCCTCCTCGTAATCCTCTTCAGCCATCTGTAAACAAAAACAAAAGCAAACACAAAACAATATAAATGAAGTGAAGAATTAAAATATAGTGTGAGTAGTTGTAACACCCTCCGTCCCGCGAACTCGGTTCACCGCGGTCCAACAAGCCGGAGAGGTTACGTAGACGGTTTTTTGGACCGTCCACAAAGAAAACCCTTGCGTTCCTTGTAACTAAAAACCTTTGCTATATTTTATTAAATGATGAAAATGAATTCACTTAAAAAAATGTTTATAGCGGAAGTAAAAAATTATAAAAATTATATATTAATAATCTATATGTTAAGACGAATCAAACAAGATCACACATGACTATTTTTAGGCTTACATATTGAGAGAATTTGATAAGTCAAAGTGCTTAGATGAACAGTTCCAAAAGTCAAAAGTGGACAGACACTCAGGTACGGACCAAGTATTTATTTAAAATATTGGCTAACTATTAGGCCGGTTTGCAAAGCGTTACAATTATCTCCCCCTTAACGGAATTTCATCCCCGAAATTCTCCTCAAGTCACAACTCAGGTGTTTAGGGAAATAATAAAATGCGTTAGCCAAAACTTTGTTTTCAGGAGCATATAAGGGCATAATAGATTAAAGAGCAATCAACAGATTCCATTCGAGGAACTTATTTGGTTCAGACAAGTGGGACAAAATGTTGCATCGTTTACAACCTCGACTATGCCATAAGTTAGCAGGTAACCCACTCGTCTAGTCGGGCTGAGTCCACTGGAGGAATATCCACACCTTCGCCTCAGATACTATTAACAGAGTCCACGCTGAATATTTCCTCATTATCCTTGCTTTATGATGCGCACACTGGTAGCGCTCCTTCGAATCGTAACTTCGCCTCTTGTTCTTTCGTCTCTTACCAAGCACGAAGGTTCGACTGGAGTCAATGCTTGACACGCTTCTTGTAATAATGGTGCTCATCTAGCAATCACAGAGTATCAAAATGGGAACAAGTGAGCGCATAACGCTATTAGTTTGACACTTCGATGTGTGCTCACGTGCTCGGGCACTCCTATATGGATCTACCTATCCGTGATCCGCTGTTTAACTCACTTAATGAAAGAAAGAGGCATAATAATTATAATAACTTAAATGATAACTGTTACCTTCCCGGATGGAGATACGAAACAGGATGCGACAATGAATTCAGAAGGAAAATGTTTTCAAAGTGGGTTTCAGAAATCATATTTAGAACCGAACTTCTCTGATACCAAAATGTAACACCCTTTGTCCCGCGAACCCGGATCACCGCGGTCTAACAAGCCGGAGAGGTTACGTAGACGGTTTTTAGGACCGTGCACAAAGAAAACCCTTGCGTTGCATGTAACTGAAAACCCTTGCTATATTTTATTAAATGATGAAAATGAATTCACTTAAAGAAATGTTTATAGCAGAAGTAAATGTAAATAAAACTGTTAGGTCATAAATAATGTAAGTGCAACAACGGTGGGTTCAAGCCCAAAGCAGTTATACTGTTAAATAGATAATTAATCGAGTCCACACTGTCGCCTATCCTCCGCCCCGATCTCCCAATCATCCAGATCAGGCTCCACGGTTATCTTGCCTACTTGCGTATAGCAAAGAAAAACAATGCTATACGCTCAGCAAAAGCTGAGTGGTAAGCTAACAGTAGAACGCATAGTACATTCACATTGATATAAACATAATTGTACTTGTACTAAAGTACGAGATACCACATACAAGTTTGATGAACAAAAGATTACGAATAAACAATGATGCAATGCCAAATAATCATGATGCATGAGTTAGACTACGCAGGGACCCCCTGCCCTTTGGTGATCATCCCCACGTGGTAGATGAGCCGAGGAATGCCTTAGTCTCCGGAAGGAGCGTAGAATGTGGGTGGTAACTGAATGCCTATTTACCATGTACGTACACAAGCCCTCCTAATGAAACCCGTTGGATCTCGAAGGTTCCTGGACGGGCCTGCGAAAGAGGCGCACTAGGCCTGACCTCTTGTCACGGTATGTGAAACTCGTTGGGTCCCGAAGGTTCCTGGACGGGGCCATGGAAGAGGCGCACTAGGCCCGACCTCTTTCCGCGGTATGCAAGTATGCCATGATCCTAAAACATGCGTCTAGGATGTCCATGATGAAATGAATGCATTGCTTATAAGTAAAGTTAAGTTCAACGCATATATATAGGTTTGATTCCGTATGAAACTATTTGTTCAACATGATGGCCCTAGGTTCAGAGCTGGCTGATAATAGATTATTTGTTGGTGATAATCGATTATCTAGCATGGCAGCTCCTATCCCAAGGTTCCGCAGCCCCTGATAGTCGATTATCACCTTGTGATAATCGATTGTCAAGTTGGCCGGATTCTAATGCAAAATCCAGAAATGTCTGTTAATCGATTAACACCTACAGGTAATCGATTATCAGGTGAAATCCATTCTGCGCTCGGGGTTCAGCAGGGGCTGATAGTCGATTATTCCATTGTGATAATCGATTGTCAACCTCTGCTGCAAAGTTGGGAGTTTCAGCATGGCCCGATAATCGATTATCAAGTCCAGATAATCGATTATCAGAGCGCACTAATTATTAGTTTTCGTCTGTCCAATTGCTACCCTTCCGTTGGAAGTTTAAAATAACGTTTTATGCTCTTACGTGAAGAAGTTCATGAATTTAAGGGGTTTCAAAATGATTACATGTACAAATTTGTAACCAAAAAGTTCAAAGTAACGAAAAGTCATGATAATGCGGACACACGTAGGTTTAGCCGGGTAATCTTATTAATATAACGATATGATTGAACTACAAATTCTAAAGTTAGAGGGCAACATACTCACCTCTAAACGAAGGGGTTGATGAAACAGAAACGAGATGAACGAATGGATGACGATGAATGATGAACGAACGAACGAATGAATGAACGGTCGTATGGGTGAGTGGCTTCACGCGTCAAACCTTCTTCTCTTCTTCTTCCTCCTCGTCTACTCGTCGGAGTCTTCCCCTTGTCTACTTGCTATGTGGCCGAACAAGAGAAGCGTGAGGAAGAGTTGTGATGCTGAATGGGGGTTACAAGGTGGTGAGGGAAGTGAAGAGAGAGGGAGGTTTGTATTAAGGATTGAAATGGTGAAATAGTGGAGTATTAAAAGGGGTATTGAATGGGGGGTTATGGAGAGTAAAGGGTGTGTGGCGTGTGGAGAGGGAAGGGGAGTTACCTCCCAAACTTGCTCCGTTATGTAAAATCTCACCTGAACGGTACACGCTTTTCCCCCCGAACTTATCCGAATTGAAATCTGATTGAATTTTCAGAAATAAGCAGTCAAAACTAAATTTATAATATCTTCAAAATATTTTTCTCAAAACTTTATTTTCAAACTTTCGGATCCATCCTAATCATTAATTAATTTATTTAATTAATTAATGTTGAGTGACCCGTTATTAAAATACATTACCTTTGGGAATCCATTTAAAGAGATCAAAATCTCAATATTTATTATTTAAAATAATGAGTCTTAATAAATAAATAATATTTATTTATTTAAAATATTGGCTAACTATTAGGGTGGTTTGCAAGGCGTTACAGTAGTAAGACATATGACGGGTTGCCTCCCGTTTAGTGCTAGATTTAATGTCGCTAGCTCGGCAAATTCAGACTTATAGCCAAAGTTCTCGAAAGTGAAAAATTTCTGTATGCTTCTAAAATATTACTCCACGGTAAGTCTTCAATTGATGACCGTTAACCTTGATTTGTCCTCGCTAAGGATCCTCAATCTCCATGGTACCATAAGGAAAAACCTGTGTGACTTTGTAAGGACCTGTCCACCTAGACTTGAGCTTCTCTGGAAAAAGCTTAAGCCAATAATTATACAACAATACCTTATCTCCTACATTTCACGATTCACTTTATTAAACTTATCGTGATAAATCTTCGAACGCTCCTTGAGATAGACATTGTTCCTAAAAGCTAAAGTCCTCCATTCGTCAAGCTCATTCAGTTGGTAGAAGCGCTCTCTCCCAGTAGTAGTCAGATCAAGGCACACATTCGTAAGGGCCCAGAGCGCTTCATGCTTAATCTTTACAGGTAAATGGCAAGACTTACCAAATATTAAGTGGAATGGAGTGGTACTTATCGGAGTCTTATAGGCTATCTGAAAATCCCATAGCGCATCGTCTAATTTATCAGCCCAATCTTTCCTAGGAATGTGCTGCGGTATTTTCTAAGATAGCTTTAAGATCCCTATTTGTATTCTTAACTTGCCCCTGAGTCTGGGGATGATAGGCTACTCCACATCGATGCTGGACCCCACATTTAGCTAATGATAAATCCATTTCGTACTTATCTTTTTACTCATATTTAATTCGTTCTTGTATCATTTTTGTTATCAAAACAATAAATTATTAATTATTTTTCATCAAAAATATATGTTTTTATAATTTGATCATAAAAAAAATATCTTTGAATTAATATGTAAAATTGGGCCAAGAATGGAGTAAAAAGAGTAAAATTGTAATAGAAAAATAATTATATCTCACAAACGGTGCAGAATGCGTAGTCGGTGCAGAAGGAAAAAAATGTTTAGAACGAGATTTTACATAAGGTAGCTTCGACGATTGATGGCAGCACAGCAGGCGGCCTGGCAGGTGGCCGCCTGCCTGGCCGCAGGTCAGAAGGCGGCGATGGGCAATAAGGCGAGCAGCAGTGAGCACTGGCGGGCGTCTGCCTGCCTTCCTGTCAACAGTGACCAGGGAGGTCGAGATTTTTCAAGAAAAATTGTAGCAGCAGCGGCGGGCTGGCTGTCAGCCGCCGGTCTGCCCGCCTGGTGGTCGACTGCCCCCTATAAATCCCATGCGCCATCCCCTATTCCCCAACGCAATTCCACTTCGTTTCCCCCCTTTTAGGGGCAAAATTACTCTCATTTCTTCCCTAAATATTGTAATAAATTTGTGTTAGTTAATTTTCAAGGTCAATCCTCAATAGGAGTGAGCATCAAGCCAGTTCGGTCAGTTTTGGCCCAAAACCGAACTAACTGACTTTTTTTAGGGTTTATAAAAACTGATCGAAACCGAACCGCTATATTTGCATAACCGAAAAAACCGAAATCGATTAAACCGAATGGTTACGGTCGGTTATTTATAACCGAATTGTATATCACCATTACAAGAAAATAATTTGATAATTGAGTGTTGAGAATAATTGGAGAAATACTTGATATTTAAGGTTGTAATTACTCCATTTTCTTCTCAATATTCAATGTTGTAATTCCTTGATATTTTTTTAATGGAGAAATTCATTCAAATAATCCCAAAATTCATTAAAAGATTACCTTTTCGCCATCGCGAGTAGAGAAATGGCCGTCTCGAGTTCGCGGCTGCTGACGACGTCCTCTACTGCCTCCGTCCTGTTCGTGACATTGGTGGTTGCCGGCGATGAGAGAGGAGATGACGGTGACGAGTAGACGACGGAGATGACAGTGGAATCGGAAGATGAAGAATGAATAGGGTTTGCCGAGTTGGGTTAATGCAGAATGAAAAACTCCGTACTCTTACTCTCTGTATCTCTTAGTAGTTAATACTCTTGGGCTTTTCCTTTTAGTTAATACTCTTGGGCCTTTGGATGGATTGAATCAAATGGGCATTTTACTTTTGGATTCTATTTTGTTCGGTTTTTCGGTCGGTTTTACTAATTGAAGATCCAACCCAAAAACCAAACCAATTAACCGAACTAACCAAATTTCTTGAGCCTTACTAACCGAAACCGAAACCGAACATTTCGGGCGGTTTGGTTTTTAGGCATCGGTTGGGCGGTCGGTTCGGATAATATGCTCACTCCTAATCCTCAAGTTGTCATGACTATAAGTTTTTCTTTTCTTTTTGTTGTAATCTTTATTGAACATTTTATCAATAAAATATCATTTTGTTGATGATTGATATATCTTTTATATTTCTTTATGTTGTTATGCTGATAATAAATATTTTATATAAGATTATGAATTGGTAATTTTACATGGGTTAGGAATTGGAATTAGGATTTAACACAAATAATTTTATCTGTTACTTTGTAATTGGATTAATTGTTAGAAAATGAATTAAAGTTTATTAATTAATGAATTTTTTATTATTATTAATTAATCATTGGAAATTAATCTTTTATCTTGTCTATGAGGTAATAAGATTAATTGAGCCACACATCCCGAACAGCTAGAAATAGGCAGGGTTAGAAATAACTGTTTGGAATGATTCAAACTAATTAATAATACTAAACATTTTATTAATTAAATAATTGGAAAATATTTCTTGTCTTGTTTATGAGGATTTAGAATTATTTAAGCCGAACATTTTCTAGCACAGTACTGAGACATAGAAATATGAGATGTACTAGAAATATAATAATCTTATAATTAATACTAAAACCTATAAATAGGAGATGTATATATTAAATATAAGATTAGCATTTTATATTCTATATTGAGCCCTAGAAGTATGAGATATATTGGACATAAGTGCTACACATTTCATTAATCTAAATTAAAAGATGAGTTAAATTGTGTTAAGTCCAAGTTCCGATCCTAACTCCTGAAATCGTTTGATTAATTATTTTAACTACTTTAAACTCTTAATTTCTCTTCTCTTTTAGTAGACTATTAGAATAAAAATTAGCCTGTGATAAATAATAAAACTAACAATTTCCTTCGTCACTCCTGGAGAGAACGACCCGAGTCTAACTCGGTTATTTGTTGACTTACCGCTATACGCAGTTCTCTACAATGGACTTTTATTTTAAAGATTTTGCATGAGTTGGGTTTTGGTTGAGTAAGTTAAGGGTTTTAATTACTTAACGATTGTAGGTCCTTTGGTCACTTTATCTTTTTGTTGAAATAAATAAACAATGATGACTATAAGGGTTGCGCTTTAGTGACGAATTGGGAATCCTATCTCCGAAAAGGAGCTCTGCTTCTCTTGTAAATCGTATAAGGCGAGGGAGCAAGTATACACATGTAATCGGATAAACCCACAACCCGAGCAATTATGTTAATTACCCACGCTTAAGAGTTGAATTGAGTATTCTATCTCCTTTGGAGCTCTGCCCTTCTATTATATTTACAAAAAAATCAAATCATAAGCAATAAAAAAGGCAATATGCAATGGGATAGCTCACGGGGATAACAAAAAAAATAATTTACTCAATTGAGATAAGTAGACAAAAAAGACTACAAATTGTTATTAATTACTGACCTTAAGAAAAGGTGATGATATTTAGTTGTTAGAATATAAGAAAAGGTGTGAAGTAATTAATGCTAATGTTATTAACTGATTATTACAAGGAAGTAGGATCTTAGAATCTAATCAAACAATCTTCTTCATTCATGTGTTGGTAGATGATGAGTTGCTTGAGGGCAAGCAATGTTTAAGTGTGAGGAGATTGATAAGTCCGTTTCGTACTTATCTTTTTACTCATATTTAATTCGTTCTGGTATAATTTTTTTATCAAAACAATAAATTATGAATTCTTTTTCATCAAAAATATATGTTTTGATAATTTGATCATAAAAAATATCTTTGAATTAATATGTAAAATTGGGTCAAGAATGGAGTAAAAAGAGTAAATTTATAATAGAAAAATAATTCTATCTCACAAATGGTGCAGAATTAGAAGTCGGTGCAGAGGAAAAGATGTTCAGAACAAGATTTACATAAGGTAGCATTGGAGGTCCACGGTCCTCTCCCCTGCGCTTCTCACCACTCGATCCCTGCTCCTCCGCGCCACCCAGACCTTTCTCTACCTCATCCTCCGCATCGACTCCTCTTTCCACTGGTTCGCCCTCCTCGATTCCAGATATCCGCCGTCGCCTCTCCCGCCCATCCCTTCTCGGCCCATCGGCGCCGCTTTTGCGTTTCTGGGTCACAAGATCTACGTGATCGGCGGATCTATCAAGGATGTTCCTTCCAACTCCGTCTGGGTTTTCGATTGCTGGTTCAATCGGTGGGAAATGGGGCCGAGAATGAAGGTCGCCAGGGAGTTCGCCGCCTCAGGAGTTGTGGGCGGGAGGATATACGTGATGGGTGGCTGTGTTGTTGACAATTGGGTCCGGTCTACTAACTGGGCGGAGGTTTTCGACCCGGTTTCCGGGTCTTGGTCTGCATTACCCAGCCCGATCGAGATCCGGGACAAATGGATGCATGCCAGCACGGTGATGGGGAGTAAAGTCTATGCCATGGCAGATAGGGGTGGCGTGGTGTATGATGTCAGGGTTGGAGAGTGGGGAACCGTCCCAAAAGGGTTGGACTTGGGGTGGAGAGGGCTGGCCGCGGTGGTCGGTGGGGTGCTCTACTGCTATGATTCTAGGGGTAAAATCAAGGGGTATGACGTGAAAGAAGATGTGTGGAAGGAGTTGAAGGGAATTGAGAAGGGGTTACCGAGATTCTCGTGTGGTGCAACAATGGTGAACTTTGATGAGAGATTGTGTGTGGCTTGGGAAGAGAACGGGAGGGGCAACGACGTGCAAATAATGTGTGCCGAGGTTAAGGTTGGAAGAGATGAAGATGGGGGTTTACATGGGACACTTTTGTGGTCGGATGCGATTCTTGCGGTTCCAAATGGTTCCTCGATAGCGCATTGTCTAGCCGTTGATATGTGATGTGTGGAGGCCAATATGGGGATGCCGTTTGTAGAACACGGGGTGTAACATTAGGAATGTAATGTTGTCTTCATTTATAGTCCAAGGATTCAAGTGTACGTTTGCAAAGAATGCTAGTATAGATTAATGTTTTGAAGGATGGAAATGGGGCTTTAAGGGAGACTCATTTATGTCAAAATGGTGCATTGTTATATAGTTCAAAATTGGTGACACCTTCGCTACAAGGGCCCCTCCAATGGAGTAGGATGCAAATCACAAGATGATGCTATAGAAGGCTGTCTATAGTTCTGTTGTTTCTATTGGTATATATAATATTGATGATCAGTGAATGGCCATAAGTTCAACTTATCACAAATGTCGGCAACAATATTCATGAATTGCATTGGCAATTTGGCAGTGCCAATTACACAAACAATTTTCTAGCTCTTGGGTAACTTTGTTTTGTTTATTCTTGAACAGAAGTTTTATTGGAAGGAAAGATGCAACTTAACAAGCAAAATGTTACAGAAATATACAACTTAACTGATAAAGGGCACAAGAAAATACAACGCAAGTTTGAATTCTTCAAACGCCTTTCTTCATATTGAAAGTAATATCATCTGGTCGACGAGCAGCAGCAGTGACCAAAATGTGTGTATGTAAAACGGAGAGCAGATGCACCTTCTCCACTTCCTATTGCTTCAACAAGTTTTTGAATTGTACCTCAATGCACTTTTACATTTTCTTTCTTCAAGAAGTTTTTGATTTGTTCAAGTGCCTGGCGACGAGTAGGACCAGGTTAGATGAGCAAAACCTTATCGCTTTAACGCATATGTTTTCTCGGTAAAGAGTGGAATATAATGGGGAGTCGCAATATATCAATGTCCTAAAATGTGATGGCACCCAAGGTCTAGGCTAGGCGGGACAAATTCGGGAAAAAGTAATGTAACTAAAGGAAGCCTAGTGCATAAGTGGAGATTTTTTTTGGGAACATGAGAATACAACAATTCAATTAGAAAGCCAAAAAACGCATCTCTCTTTAGATACATTCTAAATCAAATTTAGATGTGTGCCAATAAATGAAGAAAATTGCAATAAAATTAGAATTGCATATGAGAGAGAGGGGAGAGAGAAACCTCAATGGCAATTTCTGTAGGAGAGATGTTGCAAATGTCACAGGATCCTCTCTTAGCAGCAATTTCTGAAAAAGACGAAATCATTATTATTTTGAAGGAAAAGACAAAAGTATTGCAGAAATAAATATTTATTGAACAAAAATAATTAGGGAACAAAGAGAGAAGAAACACATCAATTTCATACTTTCTAGGCAAACCCTAGCTTCGGCATTCGCATATGCATTTCCCCTCTCATTGAGAAGTGTAGACAAACGTTTAAGAGTCTAGATGATGAAAAAAAGAAAGTGGCCGCACAAAAAAAACCATTAGTATTTCTTCTTTGGAAGCATTTAGTTATTAAATTAGAAGCTTAAACTCTGTATGTGCAATTTTGGGGTTAAGTTGTACACCTTGGCATAAATGTCTCCTGATTCATTATGTAGCAGAGGCCGTGAATGAGTTCCAACTGAAGAAATTCTCCTAGCCAATGCATCCACAGGTACATCTAACCACACACTAACGCCCTTGTGCATATATTTCCTGAGTGAGAAGTTCAAAAAGAAAACATCAACTAAATAGTTTAGCAGTCAAATTACATAACTTGATGAAAATATAATACTCCGTAACTAAAAACAAGAATTCTTATACTCCATCAGTCCCAAAATAAGTTTATTGTTTTCTTTTTGTTTGACTCTAAAATAAGATTTTTGTTGGTTTTTAAGGAAACAAATGTATGCTTCAAATTATTTCTGTCTCCAGAATAAATCTCAACCAGACAACTTAGTTAACTTTATATGTGTGCAAAATAAAACAATGAATCTTATTTTGGGATAGAGTATAAATGTATAATACATTGATGTCTGTACCAGTTAATGGGCCGAACAACTGCACCCCCACCCGTGGAAACAACAATCTGGTGCATCAAAGAAAGTTTGCGCAAGACCTCTGTCTAAAACATAGAGGTAGGATACACCTTTCATTATTCAAGACAAGTAATAAGAGAGAACAAGAGCAAGTATGAACAAGTACAGAACATTTGAAACAGAGCAGTATTTCTGTATCAACACATATCAGACAGGGTGAGCCTCGTTTCATTTTTTCACACCGTTTATTGTGGATCCAATATTCCACAACTTCAACTACCCGCAAATTTATATCCAATTATCCTCCAAGCTCCCACTGTACCATGAGGATGCCATTGTGAATGAGGGAGTGACAATGGTACAGAACAATTTTGCAGGGATAGACCTATAACGACTATAACCTATTGTTTTAGAGATAATGTGCTCATAGAGATATTTAACACACAAAGCATGCAATAACCAAAGAAAGAAGATGAGAAAAGGTTTATGCTACTACCTCATTGTCCCTAAAGAAACCTTCACCATGTATCTTAAAGATTTCAGAAACTGATGATCCACCGACAGCTTGCTCGATAAGTGTATCACTGAAGTATTCACAAAGCAAATGTAATTCATGTTCATTACATAACAACATCCATGTGTAATCTAGTTCTTGTGATCTTATGATCATCAACTTATATAACTCACAATTATCGTTAATAATTAGATTAAAAAAGTTTTTAGAGATTGACCAGTCAAAGAATGAATAGTCAAGGGCTTCAGCCATGATTCTGCCAACAGTTGTTTTGCCAGAGCCCATCATCCCTGACATTTATATCCATATCAGACAATTGAAAGAAATAAACAAACATTAAGGGCAATAACAAATAACTGGCAATGAAGCTCACCAACAAGATATATGCATCTCCCACTTAAATATGGTACAATCTCTTCTGACTTGCTCTGCCAGACAAATAACTAACTGTATCAGCAAGAATGGGTAAATCTATGCAGAGAGTTGTAACACAGAAGCATCTAAATTGAAATAAACTTCTTTGGCAATAAAAATGGTTCACTGCGTTTAATAGTCTGAGGCACTATAAATAAGATACTAACAAAAAGGATGCACCTTTAAAACGTGAGCTTCATCCAGAGATGGAATAGATCTTTCAGATTCCAGCACTGAAGCTGCAAAGAAAAATTGGATTACATATTCATTAAAAAAACTAACAAGACCTTGCTAGTATGCTTTTCAATTTTCCTAATTAAGTGGAGGTTACTGTCATAGTTTGTAAGGCGTCGCCAAGGCAATAAGGCGTTGTCACTGGGACGCCTTGTCTGCTCGTCTCACCTAGAACACCTTAAGGCGATCAGGCGCTCGCTAGGCGTTACCTTACTAAAAAACCCATTTTTTAGTGCAGCCCATTTTCTTTTAGTGTAGCCTAATAGACTTAAACTTATCTTCTCTCTCTCGGTCTTCTCTGTCTCGATCAAGCTTTCCTCAAAATGTATAAGACCTATACACACACACACACACACAGGAGGGGTGATGTTACACCAACCCAATTTGTGTAACATTGTTACACCAATTTAATTAGAATACCTACGGTGCTCCGATCGTAAAATTGATTGTTCCTACCCCCCCTAACCCACCCAGTAAACCCCCTAGCCCGCCCCGTCCCCAACGCACCCCTGGCAATTTCATTGCACCAAATTTTGGTTTAACATTTGACACGAAAGTCAACAAAATTTGGTGCAATGAAATTGGCAGGGGTGTGGGGGTGCATTGGGGACTGGGCGGGCTAGAGGGGTTTACCGGGGGTAGGAACAATCAATTTTATGATCGGAGCACCGTAGGTATTCTAATTGAATTGGTGTAACGATGTTACACCAATTGGGTTGGTGTAACATTACCCCTCCTCACACACACACACAGATATATATATGTGTGTGTGTGTATGTATATATGTATGTATATATATATGTGTGTGTATATATATATTTATATATAGATATGTAGGTATGTATGTATGTCGCCTAGGCGTGCGCCTAGGCAATATGAATGAAGGTACATTGGCGCCTCGCCTTGCCGCCTTACAAACTATGGTTACTGCATCTAACACATCTATTGACGTTACTAGCGCACGTGCACACACAAATTCACAATCAAAGATGGAAGGAGCAATTGAAGAGTAAAAGAGATATGTGGTAATACCCGAAGGTAACCTCCATTGTGGCTATGTTTTATTGATGAATTTCAAGTATATACAATTACTGGAAGAAAACCGTGAAACTGTGAAATGGTCTTTATTATACCATCCAAATAATACATAAGGATGAGCTCCACAACTCAAAACCTTGTACTACCTGGGCGCTGTGATGTATTAATACCTTTAAGAAATTTTCAGTCAGAACTACCTTGACTATTCTGAGAACATGAAGCTGTCAGCAAAACCGGTATGTGCGAGCGTGCAGATTTTCTAGGTTCAAAATAAGAGGGAATAAATATATGGATACTTTGATGCTTAGATTGCCTCCTGGGGAAATTCAGTGGACCATTCGACTTTGGCAGTCTATTTTCACCAGTTATTATACATGAGGATTGAAGACTTCGTGAAATGGTCACCTCCATGAGTATAACTCCTTCAATGTCCCAAACAAACTTTACTATCTTTGCAAGAAACTCAAAATCCCATCAATCATCACTTTGATTGCATGCAAATCCCTCTAGCTGTTTTTACATGTTTATAATCCTTAAAAGATTAGCAATTTAGCAGGAATATTAATCAGTGACAGACGTAGGAAATGTAACAAGTGGGGTCACAAATAATACAAAGACAATATTTAGAAATTAACATACCGTCATATTGAATGATGTAAACATTAAAAGTTATATCTTACAAAGTTATATTAATCCAACTACACAAAAATTGGTGTTTGAGCTTTTAAATTGAAGTTGGTGTATAAACTTCTTGTGTTGGTGTACTAGAAATGGTTGGATTACATTCTGTGGAACTGTAGGATTTTACCATTTGAAAAAAACAAATTTAGTTTCAAACACATAATGGACTAAATCATAATGGAACATTAAACTTCCTTTCTTAATTTCTGTTGAAGATTTGGATCGTAAATGCAGAAATGTATCTGGTGTCTAATAAAAATACTCTGTTTTTAAGGGTAAGCAAGACACTTAGACTCCACATATCTTGACCTCCAGAACCCCAACGAAGTTTGGATTATAATGGGTTGTTGTTGTTGAACTTTTGGAAGTAAGATTCTAAACATAATAACATAAAAATGATTGACATATGTAGATTATGGCATGAAATACAATTCATAACGAGTGTGTATAAATTGCAAATATAGCTTAGATCACCACTACATTATAGAGACATGGGCAAAATAAAAAGTGTGGCCCCATTACACCTTTTAGTTATAAACTTTACATAAAAAGAGGCCTTCTTTACATATTTAGATGCAAAACCATCAAATAAAACTACTAATTTCCATTTGTTGTCAATAAAAGTCATTTATTAAACCAATTCAATTTCATAAATTGTACTAACATAAAAATGCGACTCATGTATCTAAAATAAATTTCATAAAATAAAGCAATTTAATTTAATTACATAAAATTGAACAAATTTTAGAAAATTTTATTTTACTAAACTATTTAATAAATTCAAAAAAAATAACTTTCTTAAACAACTTTAATAAATTACAGAAAAGATTATTTTGCTAAACCACTACTAAATTTTAGAAAATATCACAACATAATCATAATTTATGAGCTATGGCTTCTGAAACTACTACGATTCAAAATCATAACATTATCATACTCAAGAATCTATCAGAACCGGTGGAATAGTGCAATAGGGTTCATCAACACATTCGAAATGGAATAATAAACCAAAAATCTCAAATCACACCTGGAGATTCGATCCTCACCTGAGTCACCTTTTCCTTCCAGCAGCTCTACAGACTCTCTTCGTCTCTCTTAGTGCAATAGGGCAGAAAGGTCAATGACGCGCCGTGAATATGCTGTTTGCGGCAAGCTGGGGTGGTAGAAGTGAAACAAGGGAGGAACACGAGGCACGCGGCGGCGTTGAGAGGTCTGCAGGGGCGGTGAGTTGTGAATTGTGGAGGTAGGTAGGTGCGTCTTCTTGTATTTTGATGGAGAATCATATGGAGAAGGAAGAAGTTTCTCAGCTAATGAGTATAAGAAATGTTAGGTGGGACTAACGGGCTTTTCCTAACTTCAAGCACCCCCCATTCACACAATTTTTGATATGCTAGGGGTGTACCTCATTTGTCCCCCACCCCTTTCTCTACTATCCATTTTTATCATCTTTTTATTTATTTAATTTTTTTAAAATAATTGCTCATTTATGTGGTGGAGGAGGGGGTGGGGGACAAATGGGGTACACCTTTGGTGTACCCCTAGCATTTTTCTTTTTGATAAGCTTGAGAGGTTTCATGAAAGAGCAATTTTATGATAAGCTTGGTGTACACCACCCCCTTCTCCACCACCCATTTTTATTTTATTTATTCATTTTTTTAAAATTTCTTGCTTTTTTTAGGTGGACAAGGAGGGGGTGGGGGACAAATGGGGTACACATTTGGTGTACCCCTAACATTTTTCTTCATGAAAACTACTCCACATTTATAGATCTCCCATTGCGGAAGAATTTGATTAAAAATAAAATAAAATTTAGAATTTGATTTCACTTTCATAAATATCATTACTGTTAGTATTTTGACTTGTGCGATGCACGGGGTCAAACAAAATTTTTGTCGATTTTGAACTTTTTCATTGTAATATTTTTTTTCCGAATCAGGTAAAACGGAGTATTTAAAATTTTATTGTGGTTTGGGATCCTCGAGCATTTGATGTCATTAAAAAACTTAACTATTATTCAATCATCTTCAGTACCTACATCTCAATCTGCTTAGCATGAAGAATCAGAACTTAAATACTCCGTTTCACCTCCTGCAATAAGAGATATGACAAATTCATTTACCATTGAATAACCTCGAGCGTGAGAGCTAATAATGCACTATCCTAAAAAGAATAATATTTCATGTTCTCTAGCAAGTTCATATAAGTGAATTCTACTATACTTTTGAGCGGATAACTTGTGTCAACAACCAAGAATTCAACCGAGATTCCAACAACAACATTTCCATCAATCATTTGTCCAAGCCCTCCATCTTCTACTTTGATTATTTAATCACAAAAAGCTTGTGTGTCCTTATTTGTTCAAAAGGGCATAGATGAAAGTAATCTCATATTCTTGGTTAATGTATAAACTTTACAATACAACCACATTGGTAAGATGTAAAAATAAGCATATTTTATATTTTTCAAGGATTTTTTTATAGTAATTACACTTATAACCATTAATATTATACCATAAATATTTCAATTAGGAATGCCAATTAATAATTAATTTCTTACACTTAAATACCCCGGTACCAAGTCTTCATGATTTTATAAAGTTATTAATGAAAAATAGTAATTTTGTGGCGCAAATCTATAAATTTGTACATATTTAGTAATGGAAAATAATAATTTTAAAATAGGAAATACTAATTTTAAAATGGAACATACTTGTTATTTGACTTAAATGTTTTTTAATATATACAGAATAATATTTTTTAACTATTTCTTTAAATATTACTTGTTGACATGTTGCACTAACATGTCAAAAAAATTACCTATTAAGCATGCCACATGTCACGATTTTAGAAGGTCAACTCTCAAATCTTATATATAAAGATTGACGATCTTCAAAGTTTCTAACCCAAATTAGATATGAGGAATTGCACATACTACTCGAATTTTTTTTAATGGATGGAGCCTAATGTAGGTAGGCTAGTTAAAAGGTTAGCTTACAAGCATATAATCTTTGTCAATACTAAAGAGAATGTATAGTGCAATTATTGAATTAAACTGTTGTGAACTCTATAATTTCTTCGACGTTTAAAGACAATATCATTCGTGTGTCTACAAACTCAAACTTAGATCAACTTCCCATAGTCATGAGAAGTGAGCTTCTTAATTATCACTCAAGCCGGAAGATAAGCTTCATTGTAATACCTCGTACCAAGATGGGAATGAGAAGAGCTCAAAAGGATTGATAGTACTACTCATACCAACAAGGTGCTTCTTCTTTTCGAGAGCTCATCACCTAAAAAAACTCCAAAGTTAAGCGTGCTTGACTTGGAGCAATTTTAGGATGGGTGACCCCTTGTGAAGTTTTCCTTGGGTGCGCATGAGTGAGCACAAAGTGTGCGTGAAAGACTTGTGTTGGTTTGTGGGGCCAGTTTACAATCCTATGAGCGGACACTTACGGCTAGGGTGGGGGCCGGGGTGTTACATTCATAGTTTTATTCTTTTTTTACTACACATTGTTGAAAGAAGATTACAACGAGGAAAGAAAATAAAATAATTTGAACTTATAACATGTTTGAATTTTACAATGGGAAAGTATCTGCAAATGTTAAGGAAAGCAGAGTAGCTAGAGTTTTCCTTAAGGTAGTAACGCCCGCCTCCCGCACTCGCAACATGGACGACCTACCCCCAAGATAAAAGCACTAACGTGCAAGGTCTAGAGCGGTAAAACGATGCACCGACGAACTAGAACAAAGTAGAATTATATGCTAGAGAAGATAATCGAAAACAAAGAGAGTTAGAATGTGCTAGACGCCTAACACATCTCTAGAGGGAGGGTGAATAGAGGTGTTGCCCAAATGACCGGTTTTTTGCATGGAAGCGTTCTTCACAAAATACTTGATCAAAACTAACAGACCACAAATAAAGTAAAGGATAAAATAAATGAACACATGATATATACTGGTTCGGCCTAAATGCCTGCATCTAGTCCCCGAAGCAAACGTGCCTGAGCCTTCACTAACCCGTAAAACATACCGTAGTTTGACAATCCGAATACAACTCGACAATTTGAATTCACAGGCCTTTTATCCTACCACCAAAGCCTTGATTTCACAAGACTCGGGAGTTTTTCTACCTAATGTTTGATTTCACAAACCGTTAGGATTTTTACCACTTGGTGTAATCACAACACCAAGAATACAAATCTCTTACAAAAAGTAAAAAAACAAATTACAGCGAAATAATTCTCCAAACATGGAGTAGATTGCTGCAAATACAATGAAGTCCTATAGAATATAGAAAAATCTCTCAAAGTCTCAAGCAATAATGATAAACTCAAGCAAGAAAGGATTTAGCAATCAAAACGATTGTCTTGCTTGGATATGAAAAGGGGATTTGGTAGAAAGTCTTTGGATATTCAAAGATGTGCTCTTCAAAATGTTCTTGATGTTCTTCTAATGATAATAACAAGAAGGGGAGTTTATAGAAACTAGGGAGTGGATAGGGATGAAAAACATTAAAAAACTAGCTGTTTGGAAGTTGAAACTGCAGATTTAGTTAACTAAATTAAGATTTATTCGACTAAATAAGGCTAACCTTGCTACTCCAAGAAATAGGAATTAGTCGACTAAATCAGTAGAAAAAATAAGGCTTTAGTGTCATAAAAACAGTTTTATCCAATTAAGTCAGCGACAAGAAAAAACACAATACACACACTATTTATTCGAATAAATGACCTAGAGAACTCCAAAAATGATATGACCATTTTGAAACCAACTCAAAAACATTTAGAGAGAATTTTGAAAAACATTTTAAGACTAGAAGAAAAAGCTATATGACATACTCTTTTACAAACATTCTAAGACCTAAAAGACTACCCAACCAAGGTAACAAAGTCTTCAGTCTCGATCCCTCCACAGATGCTCAAGTCCCTTCTTCACGGGGGGATATGAACTTGTTGTAGCTTTGATCTTAGCCTTGATGCACAATATGATGGTGATCTTTTGTCACCTTATTGTCATTATCAAAACCTAAAGACAATGAGCAAAGGACATTGTAAAAATATATATATTCATGATAGCACATTGTCCAACAGAATGCAGAACACAAAAGCATTTTCAATGTGTTCTTTCTCTAAAACTAGCCCTCCTTATATAGAAGGAGTGTTTGACTTTTCAGAATGATCGGGCAGACAACATGAAGGGTCACGTGACTCTTCAGTGGTGCATGCATGCTTTGAATCCACTTTTTTAATAACAAAGTCCCAACACGGGTTTAATTTTGATTTTGTAAAAAGGTAAAAGTTGGCCCACGTTCCGACCCGTCGCGCGCATGCATGTGTCGTGCCGAGTTGAGCCAGGCGGCGGCAGCAGTGGTGCACTAGAGGTCCTTTTTTTCCTCCCTCTCAAAATTCTTTACCAAGAAATTCAATGCTATCATATAAATTATGGAAGTTGAAAGGTTTAAAATCCAATGTGGGATATGTGGATTTTACTATTTCCAAGTGTTCGACTTTGTGAATTAATTTCTCATTCAAATAAGCACCATTTTTGGCATACAATATATCAAAACACTCATCTCATTTAGGAGATTAATTTTCAATAATTATTTTGGATAAATACTTTTATGAACTCCATGTGATTTATGTCCAAAGTTATCCCATTACAAGCCAAAAGTTCCAACAATGTTCATATGTTTGCCCTTCTTCTTCTTGGATTGGACCACTTGCTGCTTAAGAGCAACTCCAACCCATCATGTAAATATTAGTAAAGTATAAAATATAAAAAGTAGTGTTTACTATTCACTTCTTGGGCCTCCAACAGATAAGGTTAAAAATATAGTGTAATGTTTTTAGTTTGACACCAGTCATATATACAAGGTCTACTGTAGATAATGGAAACCCTCAAACTTATATCTTGTGATTCTTTTCTCTTCCTTTCGCATGTGCTCTTCTTTTTTCCTTCTTCGTGGTCTCCCATCTTCTTTTTCATCTCCTGGTATGTGTTCTTGCATCTTTTTTCATGAAATGTTTTGTATCAACAATATATGGATTGAGCAAGACTTTCGACATATACCAATTTTTAAATTCATTTAGGTAATCTTTGAGAACTAGAATTCATTTGAAATCTTAGATTTCAAATCCAATATTTAGAATTCTATAATTTCAAATTTCAAATGTTGTTAGGGTAACAGTGTTACCACTAAGCCTCTCTACTATAAATAAGAGGTTTAGGATCCCTGCAAAATACCATTAAGAACAAGAAGAAGAGTGAAGAATTAATTAAGAAAAGAAATCAAAAACATATCATATTTATAT